GTAAATGAATTAGCATGTTTCTAACATTGATTAGCATGAATGAGCATGTTTCCAGCATGAACTAGAATGTTGTTAGCATGATTTAGCATGTTGTTAACAAGATTCTAGCATAAACTAACAAGGTTCTAACAAATTGGCACACATCTAGCATGAATTAGCATGTTTCTTACATTGATTTATATGTTAGTATCTTTCCAGCTTTAATTAGCATGTTTCTAGCATGAATTAGAATGTTGTTAACATGATCCTAGCATGAATTGACATTGTTCTAATAAATTGGCACACATAGTATGAATTAGCATGTTTCTAACATTGATTAGCATGTTAGCATGTTTCCAGATTGAATTAGCATTGTTCTAACAAACTGGCACAAATCAAGCGTGAATTAGCATGCTGTTAGCATGTTTCTAACATTGATTGGCATATTAGCATGATTCTAGCATGAATTAGAATGTTGTTAGCATGATTCTAGCATGAATTAACATGGTTTTAAAAAATTGGCACAAATCTAGCATGAATAAGCATGGTTCTAACATTGATTAACATGCTAGCATCTTTCCAGCATAAATTAGCATGTTGTTAGCATGATTCTAGCATGTTTTAGCATGTTGTTAGCATGATTCTAGCATGAATTAACATGGTTCTAACAAATTGGCACACATCTAGCATGAATTAGCATGTTTCTAACATTGATTAGCATGTTAGCATGTTTCCAGCTTGAATTAGCATTGTTCTAACAAACTGGCACAAATCAAGCATGAATTAGCATGCTGTTAGCATGTTTCTAACATTGATTGGCATGTTAGCATGATTCTAGCATGAATTAGAATGTTGTTAGCATGATTCTAGCATAAACTAACATGGTTTTAAAAAATTGGCACAAATCTAGCATGAATTAGCATGCTGTTAACATGTTTCAAACATTGATTAGCATGTTTGTAAGTTTCCAGCATGAATTAACATGTTGTTAGCATGTTTTTTTAATATAAATTAACATATAACTAGCAAAAATTTTGCATGTTGTTACCATGATTCCAACATGACTTAACATGTTAATTCCCTACATTTATAAAGCGCTTTTTCTGGACACTCAAAACGCTTTACATATTGGGGGAATCTCCTCATCCACCACCAGCCTGCAGCATCCACCAGGATGACGCAGTGGGAGCCATATTTCACAAGACAGCACACCACACACCAGCTTAAAGCCTGGTTTATACTTCTGCGTCAGCCTTAACCCACGGCGCATGCAACGTGCGTAGCTGTGCATTTATACTTCTGTGCGCTCTTTTTGTTGCTCTGAAATAACACTTTCGAAACGGTAGTTGGCAGTGAGGTGTTAATGTTCCTCTGTGTCGAGTTTCTTCGCAAATGTTTTGTTTTTTTCTGAACGCTTCCTCATTGTACAAGTGGCTCAAACTCGCTTATTTTGAAGCTGATACTGGCGGACGTGCAACAACTTTAACCATAAGGTATACATAAAACAAAACTTTTCATCTGGAGCTACTTCACAGGACTCCACACTTGTGGAGAGGAGACATGATTAAGCCATTTATGACATGGGGATATTGGACAGAGGCCAGTGGGCAAATTTGGTCTGGATGCCGGGGGTTAATTCCCTACTCTTTATCATAGAGAGTTAGGATCTCGGTTCAACGTCTCATCTGTAAGGTTACGCTCACTGAGCAGTATAGAGAGTTGCAGAGAGCTAACTGCTGGCGACTTGTTGACATTTTCTCAAGCTATTAAATAAGGGGCATGCCCCATTCGCACTTAAAGTAGTTTGGCCTTGTCGTAATGATCTTGGGAATCCTACAGATCCTCCTCACCCTTGTCCCATCGTGTGATCTCTCAGTGGTATTTTTGTACCCCTTCATATTAATGTAGGTAATTTAACATTTCTGTTAAAACTGTTGGAAAATATTGAATGGGTGGTCCAGAGTGTAATTTTAAGGCTTGGTAGTGTTTATAGGGTGCAAATCAATGTGTGCTCATCCTTCATTTGTAAAAAATCAAATAATGATAATAATTTTAATTTATCCTCCTATTCTTTGATTATACACAGCTACTCAGCTAAAATGAAAATGACTGTCATATTTCCTAGTTCCTCTGAAAGGCCCACTCTCAAGAGACTCTGATTGGTCCATGTCACCAGGAAAAGCGTCATGCCCAGGGGCGTTGCTAGACATAAAGCTGTACTCAGGCACAGCTCTCTCTCTCTCTCTCTCTCTCTCTCTCTTTCTATATATATATATATATAAATTATATATATATAATTTTTCGTTTTATTATTTTTTAAATAAAACTAATAAATTACATACAATTCTAAATAAATAACAGTATTATTTTTATTTTACAATTATTATTTTAAATAAATAAGAGAAATTAATCCTAAATGTAACTGAAAAAATCTAAAGACACAACTGGAGTGGTGCTAAGGTCATTTAAGAAATCTTTTGCATGAATATTAATTTAATTTGAATAAAATTCTAAAGAAGACAATTCTATATAATGCAAAATAGATGTTTTATACAATGATCTGTTGTCTTAGACTCATGGCCTAGAATTAGCCTCCCTGACTCAGTGTCCCTCCTTTTGCTTCATACAAAACATTTATCAGGAGCCATGCCTAGTCTAAATAAGATCATCATCATATTATTTAAACTTTTAAAAAAAAGTTTTTTTTAACTTGCAAAACTAACTGTGTGCCGACATCTCCATATAAAAGTCTGTTATGCCGGTAAGCATGCGAGGCGCAAAATCAGCACAGCTATTTTTTCAGCGTGCATGTTCACAACCAAGACATTACAACAGTAGCAGAGCAGCGTGTCAGGCTGGAGCATTAAGGCGCGTGGGTAAGTTTTTTTTTCTGCGCACATGGTCAGTTTGCTTTTTGATTAACTACATTGCTTTCAACAGTGTTGGTTCGGTTGCACAAAGAGAATTGCATCTTTATTCCGGAATTACCACTCTTAATAAATACGCTTGAATAAAGTAAATCGTATCTCAAAGAATTTACTGGGCCACTGGCGATTTTTACTGGGGCACATGCCCCAGTAAATGGGGTCTAGCGACGCCCCTGTTCACGCCTCTACTAACACACGCTTTGCCCCTGCTGTGTAAACACTGTCGATCAGAGTAGCTGTTAGCCATATTAGTTTGACCCTGAATCAGACAGAGAATGAAGAGGACAAAGCTGAACCTCACGCCTGCTCTCTAGAACAGGGGTCACTAACCCTGATCAAACACACCTGAACCAATTAATAGTACCTAAAGCAGCACTTGATAATTACAAACAGGTGTGTTTGGTCAGGGTTGCAACTGAAATGTGCAGGAAGGTTGCTCTCCAGGAACAGGGTTGGTGACCCCTGCTCTAGAATAAAACCTGACAAGTGTCTTTCTTACATATTCTGATTATGAGCATGTGTAAGTAATATGAAACCTTCACTTACCTTTTGCAAGTTCGTTATTTGAGACGTAGAATGACAGAAAGCGACCGCATAGAGAGACACTGCAGCACTGGTGACGATTGTGGGTTTTTACAGCAGTTTTGATGGATAAAAATGAATTTGTAGCTAAATTTTTAAAGATGCCAAACAGCATTCCCCATTGTTTACATCGTTGTTTATGTCCTTGCTACAACATATACTGTTAACGCTAGACACTGTGCATGTAATAGATCAATCTGAACAAATAAAAACAAGTACAGGTTGTGGCTCAATCCACAGCTTCTTCTATTATGGTTGGATTTGCTCCTTCTTTGAGGAGTTTTAGCTGAATCCAGCACTGAACTGGGAGAGCTTCTGGAAGCTGTCCTTGGTCAAATGCTAGAGCTATATCTTTTTCACAATTCTCTGGAACATAATTAAAATTCAACTGTAAGCACTTCTCTCTTTGTGTAGTGTCCTTTGGAATTAAGCCCAAATACAGAAACAGAAAAAGCTCAGTGAAAATAGCAGGGTTTGGACACCACTTTAACTTTCTCTGCTATAACATTACAGCACCTCTTTCCTTGCCCTGTGGCTGTGCAGGTTGTATGCACATGGTAAATGTGTGTAACCTCATGGGTTTATGATCTCATCAACCCAGATGCATTTTTGTAGTCCCCAAACTTCGTTTGCTGTAGGTTTTGCTTAAGCTAACTCTGTAAAAGCCAATGTCTCACTTAGCATTCGACTTTGAACATCTTACATTCAGAGATGTTGTTGATGTTTACACAGCTACATTACACATCAACTCAAATTTAAAATGTAATATCGTAGTGGAACACCCCTTCAAAAGTTTAACTGCTCATATCTCACCTCACGCTGTTTTACCATCGCTAAACTCAAGTTCTTCATTTGTCTTCTGTGAGCAGTAAAGAATTCATTTTTAAAAGTCTGTACTGTACATAGCGGCGATTGACGAGTGCTGTCAGAAATCATTTATAAAACATTTTCTCATCCCAACAACCAGGGCCTTGCCGTAGGTGACATAGGTAGCTGCTAAGCGAGCAAAATATTGAGGGTCACTGCATAAGAGGATGTTTTTGTAGAAGATAATTTCAGCAAATCCAGACCAAAGTGAAAATGAATGAACCAGTGTGTTCATGTAAGTCATAATGAAACGGGCAACATAAAACACTCAAGGATAACTGTTATGTATGTGTGTCTTATCATCAAATGTTCATTCATAAATCGCACATACTTCTGAATTAAATCAGCCACACGCAGGTTAACATTTTAACACCACTCTTTACTTCTCTTGTGTCCATGAACTCCGTAACATTACAAAACTTCCCATCATGCCACCTGTTTCCCGTCTTAAAGACACAGATGCAATTATAGTACATGACATCCCCCCCAAAGTTGGATAAAGACTATCAATCTAAGTTGTCTTAAACTTACCTAAACACAACATATTTAAACATTTGACTAGCAAACACCACATTCTCTAACTTGCTTTAAAGTTACTGCATTTTGAACATCAAAACAGCACTTTGTTTTTATCAGTTCAAGAATTCAACTAATGACAAAGTCTGTAAATTTTTTTGGTAATCTTTTGGGCTTCTCATATGAGGCATTTTGTTCACACTCTGTTGTGGATACAGGTCTAACTGATCCCTCTAGCAGTTTCTTTTGATTTGTGTCCCCAGAACAGCTGGCATCTTCTGCTTTTTTGTTACCCTGGCTGTCTTCTGTTTCTTTCTCCACATATCTCTTCACAAATGTTGTATTGCGGCTATATTGAGCTCCAGTTGGTGGTTCGACAGTTATTTGGTTTCCAGCTCTTCTGATTACTGTGTGAGGTGTTGCACTGAATGGTGTGGTGAATTTATCAGTCTTGTCCTGTCTGATCAAAACTTGATCTCCAACCTCTACACTTGATTGTTGTGCTTTGCGGTGTTCATTAGCGTACAGTTTGTATTTTCCTTTTTTCTCAGCATCATAATCATGAACTTCGAGATCTGTATCCACAGATGTGAGTTCAGGTAGCTTGCCTCTCATTTTCCTTTTAAACAAGAGTTCAGCTGGACTTTTTCCTCTTGTGTTGTGTACAATTCTTCTGTATACTGTAACATACCTCCTGAGATCCTTTTGCCAGTCCAGTCCCTCAGACTGCGCAATTCGAATACGTTTCATGATAGAGGCATTCTGACGCTCAACTTCACCGTTAGCCTGGGCCCATTTAGGTGTTGTTTTCAGATGTTTAATTCCATTCCCTTCACAGAAAGCTTTGAATTCGTCTGACCTGAACTGAGGTCCATTGTCTGATTTGAGTGTTAAGGGAAGTCCATGTCGGCTAAATATGCCCTCTAGGCTGTCAATCACATTTGAAGTTGTGGTGGAGGTCATTATATCATACTCATAATACCTGCTATAATAATCCACAACAACCAGAATTGAATGTTTCGAAGGCAAGGGCCCCAGCAGATCCACTGCTAAATCTTGCCACGGTCCATCAGGTAATAGTAAAGGTTGTAGTGGCTCAGGAGCATCAGGACGAGAGACAATTTGACAGCCATGACACGATTTACAATGTTTCTCAGCAGCTCTGTCCATGCCAGGCCACCATACTTTGGTTCTGAGATGCTGCTTAGTTCCAACTATACCTAGATGTCCCTCATGGGCAAGTGCTAGTGCTCGTGCTTGTAATGTTTTTGGAAGTACAATACGTGTTCCACGTAAAACCAGATAGCCTATTGTGCACAGCTCATTAGCTATGGCTGCATAAGACATACACTTTTCAAAGTGTCCACTTTCAATAGCTCTTCGCACTTCTGTCAGTTCTGCATCTTTTTCTGAAGCTTCTTCCACCTCCCTTGTGGTTAGGGCTCTTGGAGTGGCACTAATGGCTACAAATCTCACATACTCATCCGAGTCATGTGAGTGTTTCTCTCTCATTGCTGTGCTCCCTAAAAGTCGTGACAAAGGGTCAGCAATATTCTCTTTTCCTGAAACATAGACAATCTTAAAGTCATGTGGTTGGAGACGTAAAACCCACCGCTCTATGCGGGCACATAGCTTAGAACGTGGACCATATATTGACTCTAACGGTTTATGGTCTGTGAGCAAGTCAAACTGTCTCCCATAGATATACGGGTGAAGCCTTTCACAAGCCCATACAAGAGCAAGGGCCTCCCTCTCTGTCTGGGAGTACCGTCTCTCACAATCTGATAAACTTCTGCTTATGTAGCACACTGGCACCATTTGACCCTTTTGACACTGCGTTAGTACTGCCCCCACCCCTACAGGGCTCGCATCAGCTATAACCTGGGTTGGTGCATCTTTGTCAAAGTATGCCAAAGTCCCTGCTTTTGCAAGTTCCTCCTTTGGAGCATTAAATGCCCTTTTCTGTTCATGTCCGAAGACAAATTCTGTTTCCTTTCTGGTAAGACGTCTTAATGGCTCCGCCAGTGTTGCAAATTGTGGAATAAATCTGCTACTGTAACTGACAAGTCCGAGAAAACTTCTAATTTCAGAGACGTTTTGTGGTTCTCGGGCTTCCACTACAGCCCTGACTCTTTCTTCAGTGGGCCCAATCCCTTTCTGTGTCAGCAGGATTCCCATGAAGTTTAAGCGATCTATGCAAAACTGACATTTTTCCGGATTTAAAGTCAGTCCGCATTCTCTTATGCGCTTCAAGACGGCATGTAGGCGTTGGCTGTGTGTTTTTTGGTCCGGAGCATGCACAATTATATCATCAGAGATGTTTTCAACTCCCTCTATTCCAGTAAGTGCAGCAGCTATCTCATGTTGATATTGCTCACTTGCAGATGATACTCCAAAAATGAGACGCTTATATCTGTACACTCCATTATGAACTGCAAAAGTTGTGATCTGGCGAGATTCTGGTGTCAGCTCTAACTGATGGTAACCCCATTTCAGATCCAATTTGCTGAAAATCATTGATCCGTTCATACTTTGTAGAAGTTCATCTACTGTAGGAATAGGGTATCGTTCTCTGATGATTGCTCGATTGGCCTGCCGCATGTCAAGACAAAGTCTGATTTCAGAATTAGCTTTTGGCACAATTACAACAGGATTGACCCATGGAGTGGGTCCATTTACTTCTTCTATAATGTCCATCTCTAAGAGTTCTTTGATTTTATCTTCCACAGGACCCCTCAGATTAAATGGTATTCTTCTTAAGGGCTGGGCTACTGGCTGGACTGTTTGATCTATGTACTGACAGATTTGCTTAGTTTTCAGCTTACCAACTCCCTGAAACACTTCTGGGTATTGTGATTGGAGTGATTGTTTAAGGTCTGTTACCGCTGCAATATCTGTCCCAATTTTGAGTACTCCAAGCTCCATGGCTGTATCTCTCCCTAGCAGAGGTTCACCAGTTCCTTCTATAACAATAAACTCAGCATGTACCATCCGACTGCCTATTGTTACATCACATTTAAATGCTCCCTTTACCGGCAAAGGCTGATCAGATGAGTAAGAGAACAAATTTTTCTTTGTATCTGGGATGTACGAATGACATTTAATTCTCTCAGATTTCAGTTTCTCCCATGTTTTCTCATCTATAATATTGCTGGAAGCACCTGAGTCCACCAGCATCCTCAGATGAACATTTCCCAAGCAGACATTCAGTCTATCAGTATCCTTGCCATCATTTTGAATGACAAATGCATATTCAGTCTGTCCCTCCACTTGATTAACTCTCTGTTTTACCATTTTGGTTTTGCACATTTTTGAAAAATGATCTCGTCCTTTGCACTTATGGCATATTTGACCTCGAGCAGGACATTTTAAATCTTTTCCAAAATGATCTGTGTTTCCACATCTATAACACTGTTTATTCAACTTACTGCTTTCTGCTTGGTGTTTTCCCTTTGTATATTTTCCTCCTTTTTTCCAGACTCGATTCACAGTTTCTGTAGTGTTATCAGATTTTGATGCATCACTCACTGATGACGCAGACATCTGTTCCTCAATTCGTTCACAGAGATCGGCAACTTCCAACGCGCGATCAAGAGTGAGATTCGGTCCTTCCTCCAACAATTTACGCCGCACATATGTTGATGAGCCTCTGCCTACGACGGCATCCCGAAGCTGATTATTCAGGTCATCTGCAAATGCACAGTCTCTCGCCGCTTGTCTAAGACGTGTTGTAAACTGCTGAACAGTCTCGCCGGAGTTTTGAGAAAGTTTATAAAAGGACTGCCGTGCGTATGCAGTATTTACTCGTGGCACAAAGTATGCATTTAAGGCTGCAACCGCCGCATTAAAGTCATCGGCATTTCCCGTATTTGGCAGTGTGGAGAATATATCTTGGACATCAGGTCCCGCATGATGCAAAAGAAGTGCTCTGCGTCGTTGACAAACTGACGCGGCGACACCTTCTTCTATAATAAGTCCTTTTCCATCTGCATAAAGTTCAAATGATGTTAGCCATCTTGTCCATCTTGGCCCAAGAGTCGCGGGATCTTTGTAGCAAAGAAATACCTGACTTTTCCATCGCATGTATTCAGTGCTCACAATATCCCGGCTGCATCCTCGTCGCCAATGTTATGTATGTGTGTCTTATCATCAAATGTTCATTCATAAATCGCACATACTTCTAAATTAAATCAGCCACACGCAGGTTAACATTTTAACACCACTCTTTACTTCTCTTGTGTCCATGAACTCCGTAACATTACAAAACTTCCCATCATGCCACCTGTTTCCCATCTTAAAGACACAGATGCAATTATAGTACATGACAATAACTTTAATTGTACTACATGACATTCACAGAGCTGTCAGATGACGTTTAGTCTTTACTAAAGTGCTTTACTTTTAGTAAAAACAGAATATGGGTTATCAAATACACTCAAAGCAGGAGAGAACTGGCCAAATCAGACAGAAATACTCTTAATGCTGTTCAGAGTTGCATCAGACGCTTAGCATGTCATCCCTGAGTCCTCATCTTTCTGTTATTGTGAGTCCATGTCTATATTGCCTACTTGTTATGAGCTGCTCATTACTGCGGTGTTTTCTTTTCCGTCCCATCGACTTGTCCCTCTAGTTTGCTGATTCGGCTCTCCAGGCTCCCGTTTTTCCCTCCACCGCTGCTCGTTGCGACTGCGAACACAGCGCAGAGGAGCACCAGCAGAATCAGTCTCATTGTGGTGACTTCAGGTGATGCGACGTGGTCACTGACGATCTGCACAAACAGCCACACTACCACGACTGGCTTGACAAGCCAAAACACTCGCCTTACGAGGCCCACGGTGATTCTCAGCAGGAAGTACAGCAGATAGTAGCCAAGAAGAGCCAGCAGAGCCCACTTTGTCACTGCAGATACACCCTCAGCGGTGAAATGAGGGATGGATATTATCTCGTTGAGAAAGACAAACAAACAAAAACAATGTTTAATCAGATGTATTTCTTGGGTTAACGAGAGCGGTGATTTCCTGAACAGAATCATCTCTGATTGGTCAAAATTAGCTTGACAATTTTGTCAACAAACTCACAAACGTCCTGTGGGTCCCTCAGAAACCTTAAGGCTTTTGCAATGGTTGTTAAATGGTTAAGGTTGTTGATAAGTTGTTGTAACTGACTATTACAGTAGATGGCAGGGTGTACTTGTGTGGCATATTGATGGTTGCTAGGGTGTTCTTCATGGTTGTTGCATTAAAGCTGTGCAGTTGCTTATATTTTCTGGGTGACTGCTACAGTAGTTGGTTGCTAGAGTTTATTTGTTGGTTGGTAGATATCTGCGAGGATGTTCTGAGTGGTTGCTGGAAGATTGCTAAGAATAAACAGCTACAATTGTGCTAGGGACTTTTGGTGGATGTAGTTTGTTGGTAGTGTACTTGGTGGTGTAAAGGCTGATTTATACTTCTGCGTTAAGCGCATGCACCTCTCAAAAACCGTAACGCGTAAATGTAGCGCAAGCTCTGTGATTGGACAGCTTGGGTGCACTGACAGAGGTGAGAGCCGCGCAAGCATTGATGCAGCGAGTGTTTACAAGTGTGGAGTCCCGTGAAGGAGCACCAGATGGAGACTGTCTTTTTTTGTTTACCTTATGGTTAAAGTTGTTGTACGTCCGCCAGTGCCTGCCTCAAAATGAGTGAATTACGCCACTTGTACATTACGGAAGCATTCAGAAAAAACAAAGCACCAGCAAAGAAACTCAACCTAAAGGAACATAAACACCAACTGCCAACTAGCGTTTAGGAAGTGTTATTGCAGAGCAACAGAATCAGCGTGCAGAAGTATAAATGCACTGCTACGCACAAGGCAGGTGCCGTGGGTCACGCCGATCACTTGACGCAGAAGTATAAACCAGGCTTAAATGTCATTGTGTTCTAGGTGGTGGCTACACATTGTTGTTAAGTTTGTTAAGGTTGTACAGAGTGATTGCTAAAATTTGGTTGGTGGTAGTTTGTAGATGTGTTCTAACTGATTTCCAATGGATTTAAGATGGCAAGGTGTACTTTGTAATGTAGGTGATTGCTAGGGGGTTCAGGTCATTGCCATAAGACTGCTACAGTTTTTGGTTGCTAGTTTTTAGGAGGTAGCTACAAAGTTTGTTAAGAATTTCTGGGTAACTTGGTTAACTGCTTTAATTGGTTGCTAGGGCATGGTGTCTGCTGTAGGTGGTTGTTAGGGCATTCCTACCAAGTTTGCTAATGTGCTCTGGTTGACTGCTAAGTAATTGGTTTCTATGCTCTTGGTTTTAATGTGTTCACTAGAGCATTATTCTAGGTTGCCCTAGTATTACTGTTAGTATTATTCAGCATCAGCCAATTGTAATCATATATTATATATATAGCTCAAAAAATCATTTTCAGTATAAAACAATAGCAGCAGTTATAATGATATAGAGAAATAATATCTTTGTGATCACTTTTCGAACATTTTTAGCTGATAATTAATAAAATACTCTAAGCTAGTCAACAATTATTTGAGTATAAAGGGGTTGCACATCTTGTCCAGCTGATGGCGCTAATGGACCAAAAAATGCACCTCAAAGAAGAAGTGGGACTTTTAGCATGCCATCTTAGGGTAATTATAAAAAATGGTACAAAATGGTTTATGTAATAAATATGGATATTTTTTCATATGAATGAATTCACTAGAGTAGACCTTTATTCACCCCCATGGAGCCATATGTGTCTGTTTCCTATGGCTGGATAACTTATCAGATCTCATTTGAACTACAGGATTAAAAAACATCATTATAATTACAATATAAAAGACAAATATATATTTTTTAATATCTCTGATTGAATTTGACTGAAAGATAAAGTCACGTTTACCTAAAATAAATTGAGAGTGAGTAAATCATGGTATAACTTTCATTTTCATTTAAATGTGCTAGAAATGCATAATATATCTAAGAATAACATATGATCATTTATTTGTTTTACATTTATTAATTTTATCCAAAGCATATTCACCCAACTTCTCTTGTATATTAACACTTTATTTTTAAGGAGTACAATTCTAACTATTAATCGACAATTAACTAAGACTTTTGGTTCATTAAACTACTAATTAACTGTGTATTAATATTAGTTAGGTAATAGTTGGGTTTAGGTGTTAGGTAAGACTAGGGGTGTAGAATAAGATCATACTTTATAAGCTTTATTAGTACTAATAAATAGACAATATCCTAATAATAAGATGGTAATAAGCCAGTATAGTTAATAGTGAGTGAATTGGTACTAAAGTGTTACCATATATATATATATATATGAAAGAGAAGGAGAGAGACACAGATAATACGTAAACTAGTAAGTTGGACAACTATATGTTTTGTGTTGAGTCCCATCTAAAATGAAATTCCAGCTTCTTTCTTGAGAAGGGTCTGGATGCAGACATGATGCAATCTCATACCGATGAAATCTCACCAGTGCAGAGAATTTCTGCATTTAGAGTGCACATACTTCCTACTCTGAGTATATTTATTCCATTAGTGTTGTTTTTAATTAATAGGGGAATGTTATTAAAAAAGATCCTGATATGTGTCTAATATATCCTGCACACAGGCCGAGTTTAGCGACTGCTAACTTGTTGACAGTAAATTCATTTTATGGCACTTTTATGTCCTTTGATCATATATCCAAAAATATACTAATTTTATTTAAACTCTTTTTTCTTTGTCAAACTAACAATAAAAATTACTACTACAATTAAAAAAATACTACTTTTCTATGATATTTTTAAATTATTATTCAACCCCCTTTTAGGTGTCAAAATCACAGTTTTCACCTTGTCGCAGACCCAGGCTTTCTAACTTCAACAATGAAAATAACATTTTAAAATATGATTCATCTGGCAACTATAAATTTACTTTAATTAAGCACTAATGAAATCATTTATAGAGCCACTGTTATGGGTTTTTAAAAACAACCTTCCACGCAGTGTGTAATACAGGAACAAGTGAATGAAAACATCCAGCTCAGGTTAAATCTGAAAGTGCTCCTGAAAACGATTGACTCTTTAACTAAATAGTCGATTTAGAGTCGAATAAATTAATCGTGTTGGGTTTGGATCTTCGCCTGAACGTATCGACATTGATACAGTACATCACCAAATATGTAGTACACTGTTAGACATTTCTGTAATTTCCACAGTTATTTACTGTATTTCACCCAGTATAATACTGCAAATTCTTTTTACAGTAAAGAACTGGATTTACCATTACATTATGGGAATTTAGTGTGACATCGAACAGCATATACAGTGATTTACTGTATTTGTAAAAATTCCTGTATTATACTGTATTTTCCACAAGTGCCTCAATGCCACCTTGCGGCGATATGACTACTCAGCACCACAGGACCCTGGAGCAATTCTGGAGGACAGTTTATCAGCATGCCTGACGAACATGCTGGATTTAACAAACTTTACTCTGGTAAGCTGAGGCAGTGTTTCATTTTACAGAATGTTTTGTGGATGAGAATAGAACAAATTAATGTATAAAGTTGGCTAATATAATTTTCTCTGGCTTGGAGTTATATCGCCCATTTCAGAAATGTAACATCTATTTAGTTGTTACCTCTATTTAGTTTATTACATTAACACTGCTATTAAAATAACACTGTTTGTGCTGATCTTAGCAAAACAAGTCTAGAGTGACATCTAGTGGACATAGAAAAAATTGAGTTGTATTAATTTTGTACCTCTAGATTTGTACCTCTAGTTTTGCCGTAGTTAGTGTTGCAATGGAGGAGATTCAACAGAGCTGTATTTCGCTACCATGCAGGTTTATGTTACAAAAGCTCTTAAAAATATGTCTGTGAGTATTTTGTTTAATATTTTTTCTTTATTTGGAGTGTAATTTAAAGAAACATGTATAGAAAATGCTTTTCCTAAAGGATAAAACAACTAGATTAATTATTTGCTTATCTGTATGCAAAGCTATAGCTGCGTCCCAAATGGCACACTATGCACTCATGCACTAGGACTATGTACTTATGCACTTACACACTCAACAGGATAGTATATGTATGTAGTGTTGTCCCAAATGGCACACTAATGTTTTTTTTTACTAAGCGGAAATTCAAACCGTTTCCCTGATGACGTTTGACGGTTGCCAAATCAGTGAAATAAACAACCGAATTATCAAATAATTCCAGCCGTAAGTACTGCCGCATTCACCATCGAGAGGCGCTATAATCCCTCTCGTAGGAGAATTTTGCTTTCACCATCCAAAATAAATAAAGTTATTCAACATCTGCGTCCGACAGCTCCGCCCCTTCCGTTACGTAAGCAAACCTGCGGTCGTTGAGTGCGTGAAGTGTCCATCGTACAATCAGGCTTTCTGAAGGGACGGTTTATTGGAAATAACATTAGATTAATTCTTGACCTAATTGACTATAACCATTTTATACTAGAGGACAGTTTAATATTATTTATCGACTTTTATAAAGCGTTTGATACTATTGAACACTCTTTTATATTCAAAGTTATTGAATTTTTTGGCTTTGGCATTTTTTTTCAAAATGCAATTCAAACTCTTTATAATGGTTGTAATAGCTCAGTCCAATTATCTCATGGGACTTGTCCAAGATTTAAAATGAGCCGTGGGATAAGGCAAGGTTGCTCGCCTTTTCTTTTTTTATTAGTTGCACAAGTAAGGCTACTCATATAAAAAAAAAGCAAATTTTCAAGGAATTTCAGTGTTTGACAAAGAAATATATCTCAGTCAATTAGCTGATGACATTACAATTTTTGTAAAAAATAGTAAAAAAGTGAAGAGTGTTATTAATTGTATTGAGGAATTTTCTGAGGTCTCTGGATTAAGGATGAATAAGAGTAAATCTATTTTATTTGCTCTTAAAGACTGTCCCTTAAAAGAAGTTAGTGGTATTGCAATAAAAGACACTGTCACATACCTCGGTGTAATAATAAGCAAGGATTTGAAACAAAGAAATGAATTAAATTTTAAACCCATCATTGAAAAGATCAAAAACAGATATAATATGTGGTTAATGGTTAATAAGAGATCTGTCCTTATATGGTCGTGTGTTGCTGTCTAAGGCAGAAGGAATTTCAAGGTCTGTATATATATTATTGTCAATGGAAACTTCGAAAAATGTTGTTAAGGAATTGGATAAAATTCTTTATTGTTTTATTTGGCGTAAAAAGGCTCACTATTTAAAAAAAGATATTTTAAATAACAGCAAAGACTTTGGAGGCCTTGAAGTGTTAAATTTTACAGATCTCAATGAGGTATTTAAGATAAAATGGATAATTGAATACATTAAAAATAAAGAAACTTTGTGGCATATCTTTCCGAATTTTATATTTAACTCTTTGGGTGGCATATATTTTCTTTTAAAATGTAATTTCTCTATTGATAAAATCCCTATTAAATTGGCAGGTTTTCATAAGCAGGCATTGTTGGCTTGGCAGTTGGTCTATAAACATAATTTTACACCTCATCGGTATTTTCTGTGGAATAATAAAGATATCTTGTACAAAAGGAAGTCTATATTTATTCAGTCATGGTATGACAATGGAATATGTACAGTCAGTCAATTACTTGACGAACATGGATTGCTTTTTTCATACTCGGAATTCCTTAAAAAATTTAAAGTTCCTGTAAAACCAAAAGAATATGCTGTTATTTTTGATGCAATACCAAATAAAGTTGTATCACTGTTACGTAATTCAATATACCATGTGGACCAACAGCCAAAGACAAGTGATGATGTTTTATATATTGGTGATATTAACATTCTTAAAGATAAATGTAGTAATAGATATATTAGAAATGTATTAAAAAAGAATCAAATACCATCTTCAACAGTCTTCTGGTCATCAAAATTTGGAAACATTGAGTGGAAAAAGTATGGTTAGTAACAAATAAGTTCTTTATAAGTAATAAAGTAAGACAGGTATCATTTAAAATTTTACACCGAATTTATCCTGTAAAAGAATTATTTGAACGATTTGGAGTTGATAGAGAAAACTTTTGCGATTTTTGTGGTATTATTAAAGAATCTGTTACTCATCTTTTTTTTCAATGTGTATACTCAAGATTATTTTGGATTGATGTTTCTAACTTTATTTCAAGGACATTTGGTACACCAATACAAATTGGGTTATATGATGTCATATTTGCTTTTGTACAAAATGAAATTGATTCAAAAACATGTTTTCTTATACAACTAATAATATTACTTGGAAAATACCATATCCATGTCAAGAAATGGGCCAAAGCTAAGCCAAATTGTGTTCATTTTATAAAGGAGATTAAACAATATGGTACTACATTACGTAACATAAAAAACAGAAAAGCTAAAAAAAATATGAGGCATTATGTAAATTTGATTTGATTAAATAAGTTTTTTTATATAATTATTATCATTATCTTACCTATTCTTTTTTCTACCCCTGGCATGTTTATACATTGTATAACTGAAAGAATTTATTTCATCTTATTTTATTTATTTTTATTATGTTCATAACTGTTGTGAGATGTATTCTCTTATTCTATGTTTGTAAATACTACAATAAAAAAATAAAAAATAAAAAAGTGAAGTGTCCATCGTTACACACTTCATTTTACCGGCTGAATGAGTGCATCATCCGGGTAATTAAAGTGCACTTATTATTTTTAGAATTTTCAGTGTGAACACACTACTTACACTATTTATACTACAAAATGGCGTAGAATAGTGCATAAGTATGCGATTTGGGACGCAGCATATGTTAAATCTGCATTTAATACCTAAATTGCATGTATAAGACATATTATTTTGACATTCTTTTTTGTATGTTTTGTATGTCTCGGCGACATTGGCTGAAGCAATCGTAAAATGGTAAGTTAACATTAGCTAAACTGAGCTAAGGGAACACCGAATTGAACTCAAACTCATTTTAACGTGTAACGTTTAACATATATTGATTTTACATTATATATATTAGCTGTTTTGAAGTAATTTTTCTCCGGTTTGTAGCTAACGTTAACTTGAGAAATAACATTTAACGTTAACGTTTCTTACACTAATGTAAATCTATACAATATGCTGATAACCACCTTTTTGCAAATTATTGTTTTAGATTTCTTTGGTTGGGTTTCAGACATACTTTATTTTGTAAATTTTTATTAACCTACATATATACATGAAGACGTTTTTTTTTTTCTTCATCACAACTCTTGACATTTGATTTAACATAATTGTTACCATTATAATTTTTAATGTTTAGATATGGCACTGGCACAGCAGCACTTACAGGTTTTGTCTGAAGAAGAAAACAGTACAACATCTTGATCAGCACAGCCTTATGCTTAAAAATAAGCAAGAGCAGTAAGCAACCAAGGTAAACAAATTTTAAAAAGTTGTGTGGAGGTTGTGGGTTGTAGCATGGTATTCTTATCTGTATTTTTGGCTTTTTTAAGGTTTCAGTATAGAATACTGGAAGCCTGCCTGTGCAAACTGGAACTCGTACAACAGTAAGTACTGTACATCTATTTGTTTCTCAATACAGTACTTTTAATACAAAATGTGTCACATTTTTAGTTGCTAGCTAAGTTAAACATTTGTTTCCCTTTTTTATCCAAACCATTTAGTAGTTTTTTTATCTTTGCTTATAATATTTTTAAGCAGATTGAGGTCTATCATGGGTCAGACATTTCGTAATACAATAATTAGTATTGGGATACATGCATTTGTCTATGTATTAAATGTATTTTTCCCCATTTCATGTTGCCTCAATATTTCTTTGTATAAGTAAATCCAGAGTATGAAACAAAATGCACAGCAACAACCAGAGTGAACCAGAAGAAAGCAGGAGAACTAATGAAGAGGATAACAACCATGAACAACAGAGTGTTATCCTTCTTTCACCAGCTAACTGAAAACTTGGATTAGGTGAGACACTTTCAATAATTGTATCAGCATTCATTCTGTTTTAGTTTATTAGGAATGCATAAAACGAATTGTCTAACCTGTCCTGCAGTGAATCACCCCATCACAAATGCTATAATGTTTTTGTAAAACCTTGTTGGGGAAAAAAATTAAAAGGACATTCTGGTTATCTTTTAAACATGGTATTGAGCTAGGGGCTGTTCCAGAAAGCAGGTTATGTGACATACGCGGGTAAGTTTGAGAGTAAGTAGGTGGATAACCTCAGCTTTGGTTCCAAAATCGGAGGTAACTTCTGGGTATGTTAAGTAGCCATAGCAACTTACTCTCTGAAGATAACCTGCTCCAGAGCAGGTTATGTTCAGAGAGTACGTTGCTATGTTCCAGAGTTTGTCTGTTTCAGAGAGTTTACTGAGCATTGCGTGCTCTTTTGATGAAAATATTTTTGGATGTGGACACACGGATACAAGTTTTTTCGTTGTGAGAGGGTTATAAGTGCATAGTTTTTTTCATAACCAAATTTATAATGTTAATGTATTTAACAAACCTTTTTGAAATCAAATTTGACAAACCGTGGGTCTGCGCTTACCATAAAAAACTTTCAGTGCAGCTCTTTGTATTCGCGTCAGGGCAATTTAGGCAGCTGTACAATGTGGCAGTATGACCATCTGTACTGTATGCCTGGCACTGAACTGTTTTTTACACTTTTGTACAGTTCCTTGGTCATAAATCACTGCGTATCATTGCACAGTTGATTCAGAGTGTAGTGTACAATAGTGTAGTGGACAGTGCGTCGATAATGTACAACAGAGCGAGTTATAAGCTAACTTAGAGATCTTGTGTTTTTTCTCTCCTTCTGCACCCTTACATTTTTCTGTATAATATTAAAAGAAGTGGCAGCTTTGTCTTTTGTAGGAAAATATATCTATAATTTAAGATGTTGGACGTCGTTCATATGTATACAATCACGCACACACACCTACATTTTTTAATATAATATTTTTTTCAGGGTTTCCAAATGCTATTGTGTGCATTAATTGCAGACGGTTTTAAAGCTCCATCAGTCACTAAAGGACACTTATAATATAAAATCTGTCCATAGTATAAATGTACAGGTACAACTTAATTTTCTATCCTTAATCTTTTGGTGTTTCAACTATTAAACTCATTACTGCTTCCACTTACCAGCTCATATGTGATGACCCCACCTCATCACTATGTTGAGGCTAAATGGCTGATTTTCAGGAAGTAATGATTCAAGTGTAGAATGTTTCTGTGTTTAATGACTTTGGACAGAGTTCTAGCTCCAGAAAGATTACAATTTCTATAAGCCTTATTAGTCAATACACATATTGTGGCCTTAAGAAGTTAATGGCAAGAATCAGAACAGCAGAGTCACTCGCTATTTTCAAAAAACGACTAAAAACTCAACTATTTAGTCTCCACTTCACTTTCTAATCTGCAATTGCCTCTCTGAATATCACACAAACTGTACCCAAAAAAAAATAAAAAATACTAATACTACTAATACTTCCCTTCTTAGACTTTACAGACCTGAAACTTGCCTATAGCACTTATTCATTGTTGCTCTTAGTTGTGTAAATTGCTTCCTTGTCCTCATTTGTAAGTCGCTTTGGATAAAAGCGTCTGCTAAATGACTAAATGTAAATGTAAAGAAAAATAAATGCATGAATGGTTACAAAACATACTCAAAAAGGATGTTAAAGAGTAGTTTAATTTATCATTACAATAAAATGGAGGGTGGCATGTGTAATTTAATGAGCTTTATTTATTTTTTCTTTTCTTATCTATTTCTTATTCTATATTTCTTTCCTTCGTTGAAGCAGATGTGTAATCTCTGTAATTTAAAACCTCCAGCTTCGCCTCTGTAAGGTGCGTTGCCCTTTTTTCTCACCGTGACTTTCTATGGTGACTCGTGAATTCGGCGATCTACTGTAAATGCCTTCAGGTATGTGCCGTGCACGCGCATTAACCCGCGGTTATCTTCAGGAGGTTGATTTAACTAACTCTTATCACCTGTTTTGGAACCAACATACTCGCGGTAAGCAGGTTTTGGTTAAATCAACCGAGAGTTCAGGGTTTAGCAGATGGTAAGTTAACCCAGCTTTCTGGAATACCCCCCTGGTCATGAGCAGGAGCCAGTTGCTCAGAACCAGCTGAAAACTAGCCCAACCCAGCTGCCATGCTTCAAAATAACTAACCAGTATGATTTTTTTAATAAACAAGCTTCCTCTATGCTTATGTTAGTCTGTTTCTCCTTATCCAGAGGTCTCAATAATCCTGGACTGGGCCAAATCCTGACCAGATGCTGTGGTGGTCATGGAGGAGTGGAGAGTGAGAGACTGATTCCTGAAAGACACACGTGATAGATGAGTTTCCGCATGGATCCAGTGGGCCAGCCTGACCACTCGCCGGTGACCTTTCAAGCCTCTGGTGCCTAGACTGCGGCTTTGCACAAGTTTGGCTAGAGGAAAATTGGTCGTGCCCAACTGAGCCTGGTATCTCTCAAGGGCTTTTATTCTACACTTTCGTCAGTTGGTGAAGTTTGTTCCATGCCACTGTCGCCACTGGCTCGCTTGGCTTCAATTGCTGGATCCGTGGATTTGCTCTTCAGTGTTTGGACTTTCAGCAGAGACATTTACTGCTTCAACTCTGAAAACTGGACTGAAGCAGCTTCAATTTACAAAAACTTCTATGTTAAGTTGCTTTGACATCATTGATCTACATTGTAAAAGTGCAATAGAAATAAAGATGAATTGCATTTGAACGTGAATTCAGACATTGAGCATTTGACACCAGAATTAGTAATATTTTATAGTTGGGTTGTTTCTGAGTCAGCTAATGGTTACAAATTATTTTTCCAACAATATGCAATTCAGACAAATAAATTATTATTGTACATGTATGTTCTAGTCCTTTGTTTGATTTTTTAATCTGTTGATTTTAATGCTTAATGTAATTTTCACACATTTTCCTTAAATGCTTTAAGCATTATTAATGTTTTAAAAAATTGAATATTTTGTAATTGTGTCTGGTTTAATGTCAGTAGTACTAAGTACAATTGGGTTTTTTTCTCAACAATATGCAGGTCAGATACTTAAATTAGTTTTTTACATGTATGTTCATGTGCTTTGTCGTTTTCAATGTTTTTTTGAATGATTGAAATGTAATGTTTTGACACAATTTTCTTAAATGTTTTAAGCATCGCCATTGTTTTAAATAAAGAGTGTTTATTTTGATCATTTCTAATTGAGTCTTTTTTATTTTAATAGTATTAAAATAATGTTAATAAAAATATATTATAAAATATTTAGAACAAAATTAAAAGTTTTACAATAGTTAACTGTTTACTTAGTTTTTACAGTAATTGACCATTTTCAGACTCTACGGTAACATGCTGTAAACTGATTTACGGTTGTATACTGTAAATCTTAAATACAGTAACTTACTGTAAAATGCCTTTGAAATGTCTAACAGTGTACCGGATCCATTAAAACATGAACGCGCCTTTTCTTTCAACTAGCGGAGTGTGAGGGATCACGGGACTGATGGAGATTTTTCTGTGGGGATTAAAAGTTCAGTTTTACAACAATACCACAGTATAGCCAACCTAGTGCTGTGTTTGTTCCTGACATTTTTCTGATTCTTGATACAATATCCTACCCTGCAGCACGGGATTCGTCAGCCATTTACTATTAAAGCAAGAAGCAGCAGAGACTATTATGTACGGGACTTCGTCAGTAACTGTTACAGTTCATATGGACCCATTTCTTCATCCTCTGGATCATAACATGTAAGTGTAATTTAAATGGTTGCCTCAGTTTGCAGTGAAAAAATCACTTATGTACCCCAGTTTCATGGAAGAGCAGTGGGTGGCATTCACCTCATCAGCACAGCTGTTTCCTCCAGTGAAAAATGTAACTCTTAACGAACATTTCACTATTTTTATTTCAAAATGAACTACCTATAAAACACACACACACGCACACACACACACACACACACACACACACATATATATATATATATATATATATATATATATATATATATATATATATATATATATATATATATATTATTATTATTATTATTATTATTATTATTCAGATCATGAAATATGTGAATAAGCCTGTAGTTACAAAATATTTATATTTATGCCATTTATTCAAAATATATTTCTAGTTTTAGTTATTGACTGGCCTTATATGGAAACAAAAATGCACCTGAATATAGAAAGTGGTTTGTACTACTGTACACAGGTGTGTTGAGCCTATTTGGCTCATTTAAACGGCTACAGCATACAACCCTAGCATATTAGACAAACTTTTTAGTATTATTGTATTACTCAAATACACTACTAAAGTGTATTACTATTACTTTACAACTTATGAATTTAATATTAGGCTTATTATATATATATATATATATATATATATATATATATATATATATATATATATATATATATATATATATATATATATATATATATATATAATTTATTTATTTATTATTTTTGTATTACTATTATTTTTATTATTTACTTTTTATCATAAAATCACCCCTGGTGTGCTGAGTTTTAGCTGATCAAAATCAATCTAATAGCTACTGTATTATGTTAAACAAACACTTTTTTAATTTATTTGTTCCCTAAATTATATAGGTTAATCAGTATGTGTGACTTGATTTGTGCTTAAGAATTAAATATATATTCTACTTTATCATAGACTACACATTTTTTAAAGATATTCAATATTTATATAATTGAAATGTCTATCATATCATATGCACCTGACTGAATACAAGTGTGTTTGTGCTTGTTTAAATCCACTGATAATAGCGTACTGTACCTTTAAGACAGAATTCGAACGAGTTCTAAAAACGTCACGGCGCACAACATATTCCACGTTCTTACAGCACTTGCAGCATTTGTGACTTGTTTAATGAAAGAAGTGGTGAAATTGAAAACTTTTGCGTTTTAATGAACACTGAATCTTCATTTATGACAATTTGCGATTCACAACGATTTATTCACAGCACGAGTACTCTCCCCAACTCTACCTCAATGGAGAACAACTCAGCAGGTACACTTTTTGGATATTTTCAAGCACAATTAGCGCCCATTTCCAGTAATTGTGTGGTGAATTCTCATATTGTTTTTTTAGATAGTTTAGAAACATTTCTAGCATTTATTTCACTGTGAATAAAGGGGAATGTAAAATGCAGGGTAATGTAATACGTCCATATAAGTAACTTATGTACCTACATGTGTTGGTTTAGAGTCCAGAATTTGTATGTGTGTTAGTGTCGTTTTTAAATTAATTTAGTTTCTTATCACAGATGTATTGAAGTCTTTATTCCAAAATAAACCTGCTTGCTCATTTAAACAGCTAAAATACTTAAAATAAATCAACTTTTGGTTGTTATGACGAAGATTGATTATGGTAAAGAAATATTTGTTAGTGAAAGTGTAAATAATAAAATACAATATGATTCTTTTTTTGAGTGAAATGGAAAGAACCAGCAATGAACCTTGCACATCTGTAGCTAATAACCTTTTTCTTCTATGAGTTTGCACCCGTGTCGTTTGGATAAGCTTGTCACAAATGTAATGATGACAAAAAAAATGTACATTCTCTGATTATACTTGGCCAGTAGTGTGTGCGTAATTGAGTTGACTGTAGCAGTAGAGAGAGCTGCGATTCAGATGTAAATACATTTTTATTAACAACAAAAAAAAAGTTCCAACAAAGTGTATATCAGTCTCATCGTATGCATTTGTAGAAAGTTCAATGAATGAGCTTGATAGAAATGAGCACATTTACATGGCCAAATCGCTTGATCACTCTCAAAAACTAAAATAAATAAAAGTCATTAGGATTACTTTTAAAATTGCATGTTGCTATATAAATGACATTTAATTATGAATTGGGGAAGGAGCTGAACATTATTATTCCTGCAGCATATGTTTGAGTGTATCGAATAACTCAGAAATATTGATGATCATGGTTTTTTATATAGCATAGGGCAATACCACAGAGGGCAATACATATATTTAAGTTTAAAGTAAAATATTTAGTTATTTACATTTGATAAAGGTCAATCTTTTTTCTAAAATGTATTTCTTTTTTTCTTTCAGAGAAACAACCAGAAAGCAGGAAGAACATCTTCCCTGCGCTGTTCAGAAACATTTTTCTGACAGTAAAAGGTCGTCGACGAGGCAATGTAGTGTCTACACCACAGCCTACGTCCGACATGGATTTATATGATCCACAGCCAGGCCCATCCGGCCTCCAGTACACGGCTGTACAGGATCATACTGATACTCAATCGGGTCCATCTAGTGTCAATCCAACAACTTCTGACACAAATACAGCTTATCCCGAGGCTGAAGGTGGGTCTAGTGTCATTTTATTTCTGTCCTGTTTCTGTCATTTGACTTTATTAACTATTCATTAGGTTTTTATTAAGTAGGTTTGTTAGTTCTGGGATTATAAAATTGTTTGTTTTAATGATCTGACGTTTGAAGTTTTAAATTTTAACATCTGTTGGTACTTTTTAACACTTTAGTTTCTGCTTCTTGCATTTTCAGAGAAACAAACAAAATCAAAGATGAACAAAATCAGCGCCTTCTTCAAAAGAAGGTGGCGAGCTGTAAAACGTGCATCAACATCGCACAAGAAGAACAACAAAATGGCTCCACAGCTCGACAACAATATTTCTATTTTTGAGCCATTGACCCTGAGAGATCCCCTGGAAGATCTGCAATCTGGTCTATCCATCCCAGATCGAGATCCAGATGTTCCTGAGAGAACACTTCTAGAAGAATGTGACCTTCTGCTGAAGGGCTTGCAGAATCTGAATGATCCTCCAACCCCATCAACATTTCCAGGTCCTACTCTCAAGCAAAGATGTATTGGAAATCCAACTTGGCTAAGAACGGTTTCCAATCCAGGACCATGTACCCGTGAGTATTTGACCAATTATTGTTCCTCCATACATTAGACTAGATTTAAGAAAGTCTGTCTATTTAAACACACGTCATATGTCTAGTTCTTCATCTGGTATTCATGTGTCATGTTGTCATACACTACACTCAACCCATTACACCTGTATTGACTTGTTCTTTTGCAGTTCCACTTTCTGAGCTTTATGAAGTAGAAGAGGAAATTGGAAAAGGATTCTTCGGCAGAGTGTGCAAAGGGATCCGGAAATCTGATGGCAAACAGGTAGAATCTCTCTTGCTGTGTTCACCAACTGTAAAGAGATCAGTGCTTTCATTTTTGCCATTTTTCAGAGTCAATAAAGGGTTAATTTTTCCAGTTTATACCATCCAGTGGGCTTAAAAATGTAATTGCTGCTTTTTTTCTGGCAGGTCGCCATCAAGTTTACAGCGAAGCGGGAGACAGACCGGTATATCACAATTGTAAGTCGGCAATGCACATGATGCAGAATATATTTCAAATACAAGTGACATGTCAAACAGAAATAAAACTAATCATTTGTTGACCTGTTTTCTCCAGCCCGGTGTTGCCGAGCCACTGTTCGTGGAAGTGGCTCTAAACCTGCTGCTAAATCAACCTCCTCTGAGTCCATACATCGTGCACATGCTGGACTGGTTTGAAGAGCCAGATCAATTCATCCTCATCCTGGAATACTCTCAACCTTCAAAAGAGCTCTTCAAGTTTTTTGTTAAGGAAAAGCCTAGTGAATCTCAGGCACGTAGCTTGATGTACCAAGCGGTGCTTGGAGCGAAGCACTGTCTAGACAGAGGTGTCTTACATCGTGACATCAAGCTGGACAACTACGTGATCAACACTGAGACAAACCAAGTCAAACTAATTGACTTTGGCTGCGGTGACATAGTCAAAGATGACTATAATGGTCAATTCATAGGTGAGTTTTGTCTTAATATCAGCCTCATCACATGTTAGTGAGTTGTGATTTTAGTATTTTATTTAAAAAAGTGACTGCTGACTTTTGTAACTTTTGCTGACTTTTTGTCTTTGTCTAATATGAATATACATTTTTTGATAAACAGGATTTGCCTGCCCACCTGAATACTTTGTGGATTTAAAGTATGATGCGGAATCATTAACTGTCTGGTCTCTGGGCATAATGATGTACGGGATGGTCTGCAAATATCCGGCCAGTACAGCTGAAGTGCACAATCTGACTTTTGATGCACAAGTATCCGCAGGTGAGTGAATAGTACTAATATTATTGAACACATACAGTACAATCATTTGCCAAACACATGCTACATATTTTACAACAGTTTGTCAGAAAGACATATGTGATTAACCAGCATGCTTGTGACACCTTACAGAATTCCAGGATTTGATCAAACGCTGCCTGGCTTATGAACCATCTGAGAGAGCCACTATGGAGGAGGTCCTGCAGCATGAATGGTTTCAGCAGGAACAAATTCCAGGACCAACACCGAAGACAGGTAATATGACTTATAGACCATTTTGAGGGATGTAAACAATAACAATAGTTCTAAAGTATTTCCTGTTTTACATTTTCAGTTTCTATTGCTTCTAAGAATCTAAAAAGAGCCACATACTGACAAATAACATTATGATTGCTGTTTTAACATTGAATTATGATTGAATTGCCTCTTGTTACAGTTATGAAATAGTTTGATAATAAGCAGGAAATGTTCATGGGCCAGTGACATCACCACATTGAAATGGTCTATAAGGCAAATCAGACTTTGGAAGAACTGAAACCCGTGTATCTAATATACTAACATTTTACTTTGTCACATTTTTGCAGTTCCACTTTCTGAGCTTTATGAAGTAGAAGAGGAAATTGGAAAAGGATTCTTCGGCAGAGTGTGCAAAGGGATCCGGAAATCTGATGGCAAACAGGTAGAATCTCCCTTGCTGTGTTCACCAACTGTGTACCATGTTGATCAGGGCTTTCATTTTTGCCATTTGGTCATTTCCAGAGTCAATGAAGGTTTCATTTTTCCAGTTGATAAATTTACCATCAATATATTATGATTAAAAACTGTATTTTTCTCTTTTATTTGCAGGTCGCCATCAAATTTATAATGAAGAGAGAGACAGACCGGTATATCATAGTTGTAAGTGGGAAAACCCCATATTATGAAATAATTAAATCCAAATAATATATCCTAAATACAAGTGAATGTGATGTTTAAAGTCAGCTAATCATTTGTTGACCTGTTTTCTCCAGCCCGGGGTTTCCAAGCCACTGTTCGTGGAAGTGGCTCTAAACCTGCTGCTAAATCAACCTCCTCTGAGTCCATACATCGTGCACATGCTGGACTGGTTTGAAGAGCCAGATCAATTCATCCTCATCCTGGAATACTCTCAACCTTCCAAAGAGCTCTTCAAGTTTTTCGTTAAGGAGAAGCCTAGTGAATCTCAGGCACGGAGCTTGATGTACCAAGCAGTGCTTGGAGCGAAGCACTGTCTAGACCAAGGTGTCTTACATCGTGACATCAAGCTGGACAACTACGTGATCAACACTGAGACAAACCAAGTCAAACTAATCGACTTTGGCTGCGGTGACATAGTCAAAGATGACTATAATGGTCAATTCATAGGTGAGTTGGATTTTTGTGTTACCATTCCCCTAATGACATGTTAGCTTCATTTTTGTAAATGATGTCTTTGTCTAATCTGAATATATATTTTTGATGAACAGGATTTGCCTGCCCACCTGAATTCTTCGTGGATTTGAAGTATGATGCGGAATCATTAACCGTCTGGTCTCTGGGCATAATGATGTACGGGATGGTCTGCAAATATCCGGCCACTACAGCTGAAGTGCACAATTTGACTTTTCACTCCAAAGTATCCGCAGGTGAGTACCAACGACATAATGACAATAATATTGTTGTAAAACATCAGCACAATCTTTTGCACAACATGTTAAATATTTCTTGAACTTGACCAGGGCTTGACATTAACACCCGACAGCCCTCGTCCCTAAAGATTAGAATGTTAATTTTTAAATTGTTTGTCAATATGCACACAAATGTGATCTTAGATGCGAGAAGCAGCAAGTTTGATAACTGTTCGTGCGGAAAAAAGAAAGTAGGTGAATACCGAATGAGAGGATGATCAGGCGAACGGTGAGGCACTGATGTTGTGAGCGATGCACAGCTGATGTGAAGAGCACAAGTGCTTAAAAGCTTGTTTCTTTGCGCAAAACAACCATGCCTGGAAATGCAACTGGGGCGATCATTTCTCTTTGAAATGCAAAAGAGCGGTGTTCATGCACCCACAGTCCTGCTGCTTTCAGAGATCCAGATTCTTTGTAAGCAGCAGCAGTTGGCACTTTCGCTTTTACCATTCTTTAAACAGATTTTTAATGGGCCTAGCGTTAACAGTGTGCACGTGATCAGAATGTTTTTCATCTTCTTTCTTTTGCTTGCAGTTATTGTTGATAATATGGTTTAATTATTATCCTTTACAATAACATTGTTTTAATAGGAGATTAACTCTCCATTCATCTGTTGTTACCTGATGGTCTGGGACCCTTAGTCTGGACAAACTACTATGTAAAGTTTTAGATAAATGAGAGTAATTTTTTAAAACTCAATTGTTTTTTAAGATTATTTTTTGTTGAATAAAAAGTGCATGTACAGAGCTATACTTAACTATTTTTGACACCTTTTTTAAATTTGTGGCAAGGAAATAATCAGTTTGGTGTAGCCAGGGAAAAGTTTTTAGTGTTGAGCCCTAAAACTCATGTAAAAAAAAAAGGAAAGAAGGCATGTGGACATAACACATCTTTTAAATCAAGTCATTTCAGCATGCCAAAGTCAAATTTATGCATGTAAAATATATTTTCCCCAACAACAAAATTATGGCTAGTGAAAATAACAAGTGGCTAGTAACGTCGGAAGACTACTAACCACAGTGGCTGGTGATCAAAAAAGTTAAAAGTCAATCCCTTAACTTGACAATGAGTTAGTCACATGGACATAAAGAGAAATATGACTAACCAGCGCTCTTATGAACCTTACAGAATTCCAGGATTTGATCAAACGCTGCCTGGCTTACGAACCATCCGAGAGAGCCACAATGGAGGAGGTCCTGCAGCATAAATGGTTTCAGCAGGAGCAAAAATCAAGAGTTCCTCTGGAGTCAGAAGAGGAATAATCATCATTTACAAACTGTATATAGCACATTGCACTTTACACTTTCAGAAAAACAACTGTGGACTGTGTGTATAAAGATATTCTGGAAAGGTAAGTCTAGACAAATGAAATTCCACAGTTCAGAAAAGTTGGGCAGCAGATAGTGTCTCTGTATACTGTTCCCTTTGGGATGGGGAACTTCAATGCTATAAGTGGATTTAATCCACGTATGGGGATTTAGTTTCAGAAAGAGTATATAACGTGCCAATGACATGCCATATGAGTTGGCAGCGTAAGCTTGCGCACATGTGACTTATTGCAATCCGCATATAAGCACAGAGAAAGCAAGGCAACGCTATTCTTTTCGCTTCTGAGAGAGTCGATAAGGGTTCCTCCTGCTGATATCCAGCAATTTCGAGCGAACGAGAGCAGTCTCCCGGTCCAAAGTGTGTACACGCTGCGGCAGACGGTCGAGCTGGGTTTCTCCCTTGCCAGGCGTTCTTTGGGTCCGGTCCTCCAGAGCGGTGCATATAAAGTTGCAAATTTCACAAAAAGAGCAACACAGTCGTGCAGCACGTCCTTTTCAGGATGGCGCTCCGACCGTGTGTTTCTGGATGCGGTGGTTTCCTGTCCCCGGATGATGGGCACGAAGGAAGCGATCCGTCTAACCAGATGGTAGCCCTTACGTTTGATGACACCGGGGACCAGACGTCCACCACGGCATCGGAGGGTGGGCTTTCATTGTCCGAAGATGATCCAGACCCGCTAGCCCCCTCTGGGCAGGTGAGTGCTGTCAAGACGGATCCTGAAACGTGCTTTCCCGGGCTGCTTCGGCTGTGGGGTTGGAGATGGCTTATCCCCCAGCTCCGCAGCGGGACCGACTAGATGGGTGCTATGTAGAGGACCAGAGGGCTAAGCCTTCGAAGCCTCTCGTCCCCTTCTTCCCGGAGGTGCACAGTAGGCTCACGCAGTCTTGGAGGGCACCTTTCTCTGCCCGTGCTGCGTGTCCCTCCACCCTCACCACTCTTGATGGTGGAGCGGCCAGGGGGTATGATGCGGTTCCTCAGGTCGAGCGCGCTATTGCGGACAATCTTTGTCTGCATGGCGCCTCTTCTTGGCGGGGCCCGCCTCATCTCCCGTCCAAAGCCTGTAAGTTATCTGCCTCCTTCGGAGCCAGAGCTTACAAGGCTGCAGGCCAGGCTGCTTCCGCCTTGCTATGGCCACCTACCAGTGCTACCAAGCGCAGGCGCTGGCCCGGCTGCACAAGGGTGGGTCCAGGTGAGCCTGCCCTCCGGAGTTTGGGTGCGGAGTGAGAGCAAATCTCTCGCCTCCAGCTCTTCCGCGGGACCCTCGCTCTTCCCGGATCAGCACACCCACTCCGCGCTGCCCCACTGCTGGTACGTCAGTGATTGTAGCAATGAGTCCATTAGCGAGAACTCTGCCTGCCTGGTTAGCGCGGGCCAGCCCTTCGCGGTGGCTCATACGCACAATCAGACTCGGCTATGCGATTCAGGTCGCGAAACGGCCCCCCCAAGTTCAGGGGTGTGTATTTCACAAGGGTCAACCCCTCTGTCCGCCCCTGTCTTGCGAGAGGAGATTGCTGTCCTCCTGGCAATGGATGCAATCGAGCCGGTCCCTCCAGCCGAGATGGAGAGCGGGTTTTACAGCTCGTACTTCATCGTGCCCAAAAGAGCGGTGGGTCATGGCCAATCCTAGATCTGCGCGTTTTGAACCGCTGTCTGCACAAGCTGACGTTCAGAATGCTCTCGCAGAAGCGCATTCTCCGGTGCGTTCGTTCTACAGTATACAGAGACTAGCATGGGAATCACAAGAGGGCTGCCCAACTTTTCTGGATCATGGATTGTCTGGACTTACCTTTCCAGACTATTGTGAATTTGTGACTATTGTCAATTTTTTTGTATTTTTTGTTTTTTGGAAATAAACTGTTCTTACTGTGTATTCTGTGTCATTCTTTTAACGCTTACAAACTTCTCACAAAACTAAAACCTGACCTATTTAAACTGTGTTACCTGCTGTGAGTGGTGTAATGCGTACTGAAAAATCATACTCAATTAAAAGTACCATTACTTGCCTAAAAATGTAGAGTAAAAGTATCTTTTTAGTAGTAATAGTATCTGTAAGCAGATCTTTTAAAAGTTCTCATGAGTAGCGAGTATTACACTGTGAAAAGCTGATGCGTTTACATGTAATTTGTGGATGTGTGTAAACGTAACATTCTGTAGTGCCTTTAGTTATTGCCCAGCAGGCACACAACATCATAAAACATTAATATTAGTTAGATTTAGGTTGTGATGTCAGGTGACCGAAATTCAGTGATTAGCCAGCGTCTAAGGACAACATTTTGTTGGACAAACAAATTTTGATGTCCAAATACGGCGTTAAATGACGATATTTAATTGAGTTGTCAGAAAAGGACCAAAATCCAACGTCGGGTCAACATCTTAAACCAAAGTCATATTGACGTCAAATACTGACATTTTTTCATCAGGTATGGCAACCAAAATCCAACATCTGATTGTTGTCATAATAGTAACGCCCACACAGCAGTAACGTCCACATAATGAGTGTATTAAAGATGTTAAAGACTGGATGAGCTACGATTTTCTTCTATTAGATTCTAGATTGTGGTGTGCCAGATGGCTGACTTCTTTGCCAGTTTAAATTACATAGTGTAACAGTTTTGTTTTGGTTCAAAAACTAATGTAAAATAATGTAAACAGTGATTAAAAATGCTTGCAGTAGCCTACATTATTTTTACAGTCTGGACATGACAGAGATGGACATGTTTAGCAACAATACTCAGGTGGGCTGTGGCGTTGACACAATGCTCAATTGGTACTAATGGGCCTAAAATGTGCCAAGAAAATATCCCCAACACCACCAGCCTGAACCATTCATAAAAGCCTAGATGGATCCATTCTTTCATTTTGTTGACGCAAAATTTTGACCCTACCATTCGAATGTTGCAGCTGAAATCAAGACTCATCACACCAGGCAACATTTTTCCAATCTTCTATTCTCCAGTTTTGGTGAGCCTGTGTGAATTATAGCCTCAGTTTCCTGTTCCTAGCTGACAGGAGAGGCACCCGGTATGGTCTTCTGCTGCTGTAGCTCATCCGCCTCAAGGTTTGATGTGCTGTGCGTTCAAAGATGGTCTTCTGCATACCTCGGTCGTAACGATTGGTTTTTTTGAGTTACTGTTGCCTTTCTATCAGCTGGGACTTGTCTGGCCATTCTCCTCTGACATCTGGCATCAGCAAGACATTTGTGCCCACAGAACTGCTGCTTACTGGATATTTTCTCTTTTTCAGATCATTTTCTGTAAATGAATTAGCATGTTTCTAACATTGATTAGCATGAATGAGCATGTTTCCAGCATGAATTAGAATGTTGTTAGCATGATTTAGCATGTTGTTAACAAGATTCTAGCATGAACTAACAAGGTTCTAACAAATTGGCACACATCTAGCATGATTTAGCATGTTTCTTACATTGGTTTATATGTTAGTATCTTTCCAGCTTGAATTAACATGTTGTTAGCATGTTTCTAGCATGAATTAGAATGTTGTTAGCATGATTCTAGCATGAATTGACATTGTTCTAACTAACTGGCACATAGTATGAATACTAGCATGAATAAGCATGTTTCTAACATTGATTAACATGTTAGCATCTTTCCAGCATAAATTAGCATGTTGTTAGCATGATTCTAGCATGTTTTAGCTTGTTGTTAGCATGATTCTAGCATGAATTAACATGGTTCTAACAAATTGGCACACATCTAGCATGAATTAGCATGTTTCTAACATTGATTAGCATGTTAGCATGTTTCCAGCTTGAATTAGCATGTTTCTAGCATGAATAAGAATGTTGTTAGCATGCCTTCAGCATGAATTAACATTGTTCTAACAAATTGGCACAAATCAAGCATGAATTAGCTAGCATGTTTCTAGCATTGATTGGCATGTTAGCATGATTCTAGCATGAATTAGAATGTTGTTAGCATGATTCTAGCATAAACTAACATGGTTCTAACAAATTGGCACAAATCTAGCATGAATTAGCATGCTGTTAACATGTTTCAAACATTGATTAGCATGTTTGTAAGTTTCCAGCATGAATTAACATGTTGTTAGCATGTTTTTTAATATAAATTAACATATAACTAGCAAAAATTTTGCATGTTGTTACCATGATTCCAGCTTGACTTAACATGTTAATTCCCTACATTTATAAAGCGCTTTTTCTGGACACTCAAAGCGCTTTACATATTGGGGGAATCTCCTCATCCACCACCAGCCTGCAGCATCCACCAGGATGACGCGGTGGGAGCCATATTGCGCAAGACAGCACCCCACACACCAGCTTAAAGCCTGGTTTATACTTCTGCGTCAGCCTTAACCCACGGCGCATGCAACGTGCGTAGCTGTGCATTTATACTTCTGTGCGCTCTTTTTGTTGCTCTAAAATAACACTTTCGAAACGCTAGTTGGCAGTGAGGTGTTAATGTTCCTCTGTGTCGAGTTTCTTCGCTAATGTTTTGTTTTTTTCTGAACGCTTCCTCATTGTACAAGTGGCTCAAACTCGCTTACTTTGAGGCAGGAACTGGCGGACGTGCAACAACTTAAACCATAAGGTATACATAAAACAAAACTTTCCATCTGGAGTTACTTCACAGGACTCCACACTTGTGGAGAGGAGACATGATTAAGCCATTTATGACATGGGGATAACGGACAGAGGCCAGTGGGCAAATTTGGTCTGGATGCCGGGGGTTAATCCCCTACTCTTTTAAAGGTTCAGGACACCCTGGAGAACTTTTTTTATATATTAACGGATTTGTGTGTGTTGAGCATCAGTTAAGACAATGTTAGCACCTGTCAGCTTTAATTGTGGGGAAAACTGGATAATTTTGAGCTTTTGTCAGCTAACTTCAGCTTCCGGGTTTAAAATTATTTTTGGGGCTGGATCAAAATTGGCGACGTAGCTCAGTACTGCAAGTGCAATGATGACGCGTCGGTTTCTCATTATTATTCATAGCGGAGTTTCCTTATCCTAAGAGCCAGCTGCTTAATTATTCATGAGAGCACGTGCTTTCCGAAGGCAGACCTGCCAGTTTCAAGCAAGCTGTGAGGCACAGACCAACGGCACGTAGCCGTTCATGAAGGCACGTATGTGTTTTTTTCCATAATCCACGGGGTTTGTTGCATGTTTTTTCCCCGCGATCCTGTCAGGGCCGATCATACAGCAAAGATGTGTGTGTGCTGCAAGCATTTTTGTTGGGAGAGCAGTGCGAGAATTGAAGAATGGCGGTTCACGTTCAGACACATCGCCGTGCTGCTGTGTTTGCCTAAATCCTCTATATTACCAGCAGGGCTAATGGTTAAAATAGACAGGTCAGGAGACCTGCTGCACTGCATTCAAGATCTATAATTTAGACCCGGGGATCAAGGGAGAATCCTCATTTATAGTGTTTACATAAACTTATCTTTATAATGATATAAATTGTGGTTATGTGTATATGAAATTACGAATAACAAATGTAGCAGGGCATCTCTCTCAAGAGACTCTGATTGGTCCAAGTCACCAGGAAAAGCGTCATTATATATATATATATATATATATAATTTTTCGTTTTATTATTTTTTAAATAAAACAAATAAATTACATATAATTATAAAATAATAACAGTATTATTTTTGTTTTACAATTATTATTTTAAATAAATAACAGAAATTAATCCTAAATGTAACTAAAAAAATCTAAAGACACAACTGGAGTGGTGCTAAGGTCATTTAAGAAATCTTTTGCATGAATATTAATTTAATTTGAATAAAATTCTAAAGAAAACAATTCTATATAATGCAAAATAGATGTTTTATAGAATGATCTGTTGTCTTAGACTCATGGCCTAGAATTAACCTCCCTGACTCAGTGTCCCTCCTTTTGCTTCATACAAAACATTTATCTGGAGCCATGCCTAGTCTAAATAAGATCATCATCATATTATTTAAACTTTTAAAAAAAAGTTTTTTTTAACTTGCAAAACTAACTGTGTGCCGACATCTCCACATAAAAGTCTGTTATGCCGGTAAGCAGGCGAGGCGCAAAATCAGCACAGCTTTTTTTTCAGCGTGCATGTTCACAACCAAGACATTACAACAGTAGCAGAGCAGCGCGTCAGGCTGGAGCATTGAGGCACGTGGGTTAGTTTTTTTTCTGCGCACATGTTTAGTTTGCTTTTTGATTAACTACATTGCTTTCAACAGTGTTGGTACGGTTGCACAAAGAGAATTGCATCTTTATTCCGGAATTACCACTCTTAATAAATACGCTTGAATAAAGTAAATCGTATCTCAAAGAATTTACTGGGCCACTGGCGATTTTTACTGGGGCACATGCCCCAGTAAATGGGGTCTAGCGACGCCCCTGGTCACGCCTCTACTAACACACGCTTTGCCCCTGCTGTGTAAACACTGTCGATCAGAGTAGCTGTTAGCCATATTAGTTTGACCCTGAATCAGACAGAGAATGAAGAGGACACAGCTGAACCTCACGCCTGCTCTCTAGAACAGGGGTCACCAACCCTGATCAAACACACCTGAACCAATTAATAGTAGCTAAAGCAGCACTTGATAATTACAAACAGGTGAGTTTGGTCAGGGTTGCAACTGAAATGTGCAGGAAGGTTGCTCTCCAGGAACAGGGTTGGTGACCCCTGCTCTAGAATAAAACCTGACAAGTGTCTTTCTAACATATTCTGATTATGAGCATGTGTAAGTAATATGAAACCTTCACTTACCTTTTGCAAGTTCGTTATTTGAGACGTAGAATGACAGAAAGCGGCCGTATAGAGAGACACTGCAGCACTGGTGACGATTGTGGGTTTTTACAGCAGTTTTGACGGATAAAAATGAATTTGTAGCTAAATTTTTAAAGATGCCAAACAGCATTCCCCATTGTTTACATCGTTGTTTATGTCCTTGCTACAACATATACTGTTAACGCTAGACACTGTGCATGTAATAGATCAATCTGAACAAATAAAAACAAGTACAGGTTGTGGCTCAATCCACAGCTTCTTCTATTATGGTTGGATTTGCTCCTTCTTTGAGGAGTTTTAGCTGAATCCAGCACTGAACTGGGAGAGCTTCTGGAAGCTGTCCTTGGTCAAATGCTAGAGCTATATCTTTTTTACAATTCTCTGGAACATAATTAAAATTCAACTGTAAGCACTTCTCTCTTTGTGTAGTGTCCTTTGGAATTAAGCCCAAATACAGAAACAGAAAAAGCTCAGTGAAAATAGCAGGGTTTGGACACCACTTTAACTTTCTTTGCTATAACATTACAGCACCTCTTTCCTTGCCCTGTGGCTGTGCAGGATGTATGCACATGGTAAATGTGTGTAACCTCATGGGTTTATGATCTCATCAACCCAGATGCATTTTTGTAGTCCCCAAACTTCGTTTGCTGTAGGTTTTGCTTAAGCTAACTCTGTAAAAGCCAATGTCTCACTTAGCATTCGACTTTGAACATCTTACATTCAGAGATGTTATTCAGACACAGCTACATTACACATCAACTCAAATTTAAAATATGATATCGTAGTGGAACACCCCTTCAAAAGTTTAACTGCTCATATCTCACCTCACGCTGTTTTACCATCGCTAAACTCAAGTTCTTCATTTGTCTTCTGTGAGCAGTAAAGAATTCATTTTTAAAAGTCTGTACTGTACATAGCGGCGATTGACGAGTTCTTTCAGAAATCATTTATAAAACCTTTTCTCATCCCAACAACCAGGGCCTTGCCGTAGGTGACATAGGTAGCTGCTAAGCGAGCAAAATATTGAGGGTCACTGCAAAAGAGGATGTTTTTGTAGAAGAGGATTTCAGCAAATCCAGACCACAGTGAAAATGAATGAACCAGTGTGTTCATGTAAGTCATAATGAAACGGGCAACATAAAACACTCAAGGATAACTTTAATTGTACCACATGACATTCACAGAGCTGTCAGATGACGTTTAGTCTTCATGCTTTACATTTAGTAAAAACAGAATATGGGTTATCAAATACACTCAAAGCAGAAGAGAACTGGCCAAATAAGACAGAAATACTAGTAATGCTGTTCAGAGTTGCATCAGACGCTTAGCATGTCATCCCTGAGTGCTCATCTTTCTGTTCTTGTAAGTCCATGTCTATATTGCCTACTTGTAATGAGCTGCTCATCACTGCCGTGTTTTCTTTTCCGTCCCATCGACTTGTCCCTCTAGTTTGCTGATTCGGCTCTCCAGGCTCCCGTTTTTCCCTCCACCGCTGCTCGTTGCGACTGCGAATACGGCGCAGAGGAGCACCAGCAGAATCAGTCTCATTGTGGTGACTTCAGGTGATGCGACGTGGTCACTGACGATCCGCACAAACAGCCACACTACCACGACTGGCTTGACAAGCCAAAACACTCGCCTTACGAGGCCCACGGTGATTCTCAGCAGGAAGTACAGCAGATAGTAGCCAAGAAGAGCCAGCAGAGCCCACTTTGTCACTGCAGATACACCCTCAGCGGTGAAATGAGGGATCGATATTATCTCTTTGAGAAAGACAAACAAACAAAAAACAATGTTTAATCAGATGTATTTCTTGGGTTAACGAGAGCGGTGATTTCCTGAACAGAATCAACTCTGATTGGTCAAAATTAGCTTGACAATTTTGTCAACAAACTCACAAACGTCCTGTGGGTCCCTCAGAAACCTTAAGGCTTTTGCAATGGTTGTTAAATGGTTAAGGTTGTTGATAAGTTGTTGTAACTGACTATTACAGTAGATGGCAGGGTGTAGTTGTGTGGCATATTGATGGTTGCTAGGGTGTTCTTCATGGTTGTTGCATTAAAGCTGTGCAGTTGCTTATATTTTCTGGGTGACTGCTACAGTAGTTGGTTGCTAGAGTTTATTTGTTGGTTGGTAGAGTTCTGCGAGGATGTTCTGAGTGGTTGCTGGAAGATTGCTAAGAATAAACAGCTACAATTGTGCTAGGGACTTTTGGTGGATGTAGTTTGTTGGTAGTGTACTTGGTGGTGTAAAGGCTGATTTATACTTATACGTTAAGCGCATGCACCTCTCAAAAACCGTAACGCGTAAATGTAGCGCAAGCTCTGTGATTGGTCGGCTTGGGAGCACTGACGGAGGTGAGAGCCGCGCGAGCATGATGCAGCGAGTGTTTACAAGTGTGGAGTCCCGTGAAGGAGCTCCAGATGGAGACTGTCTTTTTTTGTTTACCTTATGATTAAAGTTGTTGTACGTCCGCCAGTGCCTGCCTCAAAATGAGTGAATTTAAGCCACTTGTACATTACGGAAGCATTCAGAAAAAACAAAGCACCAGCGAAGAAACTCAACCTAGAGGAACATAAACACCAACTGCCAACTAGCGTTTAGGAAGTGTTATTGCAGAGCAACAGAATCAGCGTGCAGAAGTATAAATGCACTGCTACTCACAAGGCAGGCGCCGTGGGTCACGCCGATCACTTGACGCAGAAGTATAAACCAGGCTTGAATGTCATTGTGTTCTAGGTGATGGCTACACATTGTTGTTAAGTTTGTTAAGGTTGTCCAGAGTAATTGCTAAAATTTGGTTGTTGGTAGTTTGTAGATGTGTTCTGGCTGATTTCCAATGGATTTAAGATGGCAAGGTGTACTTTGTAATGTAGGTGATTGCTAGGGGGTTCAGGTCATTGCCATAAGACTGCTACAGTTTTTTGTTGCTAGTTTTTAGGAGATAGCTACAAAGTTTGTTAAGAATTTCTGGGTAACTTGGTTAACTGCTTTAACTGGTTGCTAGGGCATGGTGTCTGCTGTAGGTGGTTGTTAGGGCATTCCTACCAAGTTTGCAAATGTGCTCTGGTTGACTGCTAAGTAATTGGTTTCTATGCTCTTGGTTTTAATGTGTTCACTAGAGCATTATTCTAGGTTGCCCTAGTATTATTGTTAGTATTATTCAGCATCAGCCAATTGTAATCATATATTATATATATAGCTCAAAAATTCATTTTCAGTATAAAACAATAGCAGCAGTTATAATGATATAGAGAAATAATATCTTTGTGATCACTTTTCGAACATTTTTAGCTGATAATTAATAAAACACTCTAAGCTAGTCAACAATTATTTGAGTATAAAGGGGTTGCACATCTTGTCCAGCTGATGGCGCTAATGCACCAAAAAATGCACTTCAAAGAAGAAGTGGGACTTTTAGCATGCCATCTTAGAGTAATTATAAAAAATGGTACAAAATGGTTTATGTAATAAATATGGATATTTTTTCATATGAATGAATTCACTAGAGTAGACCTTTATTCACCCCCATGGAGCCATATGTGTCTGTTTCCTATGTCTGGATAACTTATCAGATCTCATTTGAACTACACGATTAAAAAAACATCATTATAATTACAATATAAAAGACAAATATATATTTTTAATATCTCTGATTGAATTTGACTGAAAGAATAAAGTCACGTTTACCTAAAATGAATTGAGAGTGAGTAAATCATGGTATAACTTTCATTTTCATTTAAATGTGCTAGAAATGCATAATATATCTAAGAATAATATATGATCATTTATTTGTTTTACATTTATTAATTTTATCCAAAGCATATTCACCCAACTTCTCTTGTATATTAACACTTTATTTTTAAGGAATACAATTCTAACTATTAACCGACAATTAACTAAGACTTTTGGTTCATTAAAGTACTAATTAACAGTGTATTAATATTAGTTAGGTAATAGTTGGGTTTAGGTGTTAGGTAAGACTAGGGGTGTAGAATAAGATCATACTTTATAAGCTTTATTAGTACTAATAAATAGACAATATCTTAATAATAAGATGGTAATAAGCCAGTATAGTTAATAGTGAGTGAATTGGTACTAAGGTGTTACCATATATATATGAAAGAGAGGGAGAGAGACACAGATAATACGTAAACTAGTACGTTGGACAACTATATGTTTTGTGTTGAGTCCCATCTAAAATGAAATTCCAGCTTCTTTCTTGAGAAGGGTCTGGATGCAGACATGATGCAATCTCATACCGATGAAATCTCACCAGTGCAGAGAATTCCTGCATTTAGAGTGCACATACTTCCTACTCTGAGTATATTTATTCCATTAGTGTTGTTTTTAATTAATAGGGGAATGTTATTAAAAAAGATCCTGATATGTGTCTAATATATCCTGCACACAAGCCGAGTTTAGCGACTGCTAACTTGTTGACAGTAAATTCATTTTATGGCACTTTTATGTCCTTTGATCATATATCCAAAAATAAACTAATTTTATTTAAACTCCTCTTTCTTTGTCAAACTAACAATAAAAATTACTACTACAATAAAAAAAAATACTACTTTTCTATGATATTTTAAAATTATTATTCAACCCCCTTTTAGGTGTCAAAATCACAGTTTTCACCTTGTCGCAGACCCAGGCTTTCAAACTTCAACAATGAAAATAACATTTTAAAATATGATTCATCTGGCAACTATAAATTTACTTTAATTAAGCACTAGTGAAATCATTTATAGAGCCCCTGTTATGGGTTTTTGAAAATAACCTTCCACGCAGTGTGTAATACAGGAACAAGTGAATGAAAACATCCAGCTCAGGTTTAAATCTGAAAGTGCTCCTGAAAACGATTGATTCTTTAACTAAATAGTCGAATCAGAGTCGAATAAATGAATCGGTTTGGGTTTGGATCTTCACCTGAACATATCGACATCGATACAGTACATCACCAAATATGTAGTACCGGATCACGTAAAACATGAACGCGCCTTTTCTTTCAACTAGCGGAGTGTGAGGGATCACGGGACTGATGGAGATTTTCTGTGGGGATTAAAAGTTCAGTTTTACAACAATACCACAGTATAGCCAACCTAGTGCTGTGTTTGTTCCTGACATTTTTCTGATTCTTGATACAATATCCTACCCTGCAGCGCGGGATTTGTCAGCCATTTACTATTACAGCAAGAAGCAGCAGAGACTATAATGTACGGGACTTCGTCAGTAACTGTTACAGTTCATATGGATCCATTTCTTTATCCTCTGGATCATAACATGTAAGTGTAATTTAAATGGTTGCCTCATTTTGTGTAGTCTGTAAAATATGTTGTAAGTTGTAATTGCCCCGCGCAGCTTGTAATCACTTATCTTTTATAGATCAGTGCTTGTTCTGTATCTCTCAGGTTAAAACTGTATTGGGCTTTTCACATAGTGAGTCCAAAACCGTGTTGAGAACGTGACGTGTGCTTCTTCCTTTAGTGATTTAAATGTGTTTCTGGCCCCCGTCAGCTGTTCCTACACACACGGCACTGTTCATTTTTGAAATAGTTCAACTTTTGTCACTGTGTGGATTAATACTGAATGTGTGTCGTTTTTATTACTTGGGGTTAGGGTCAAGAGTGATATGCTGGTGTTTAACTTTATTGCATTCCTGCATTGGGCTCTCACATACTCTCTGCTACTTCATAACCGTGGTAGGCGTTTCTCTCTGTCTCGCACTCAATGCAATCGACCAATCACAACAGACTGATTCATCAGACCAATCACAGCAGATTAGGCTCACGCATAGGACGGGCTTGGGAAAAAATGAATAGCTAAACGAATCATATGGGAGTCAATAGGATAATTAGGCAAAAATAAATGCGTAATATAAGACAATGAAAGTGTTTTTTGACCTTGCATACATATCAGCCTGTTGTCGGAGACACCCCAAAACAAAATATGACTTTTTATAATGCAAAATAGGGGCTTTTAAAATGTTTTATAGTTATTAATGTAAGATTACTGTAATTATAATTTTTTACACAAAATATAGGTGTAACACACAATATCAGTATAATTTTCACCACAACAGTAATGTCCCTTTAAAAAGATTGTGTGAAAGATTGTTTAAGTGGTTTCTGTGAAATTGAATAATGACATCAGAGAACATGTTCAAGATGGAGGGAATTTAAATTGTCATTAACAACACATCATGTAAATATTGCTTGATAAGGAAATACATTTATTCTACGTCATTTCCAAACAAGCTATACATTCAAAGGTGTTTCTAAAAACTTTTTTGTTCCACATATACAAGGTCACAGTCATTAATTTCAGGACAGCGTCAGGCAGCAGTGAATCTTTCTTTATTATTTAGTTATATTATAATATATACAGTATTCAGAGTAATAGTTGGAGATTGAAAGATAATGGAGGTACTTCATGTGATTTGAATTTTAGTTATCAATACACAGAATTTCTCTAAGAATAATGTTATCCATATTCAAGCTAAACAGTGTTTTGTTTAAATATTGAAATATGCCCTGTCTACGCCCTGAGAGGTGACTTTTACTCACCATTTGCTCCCGTAGCTCGGAGGATCTCAGACACATACACAGCAATGACATTCAGCCCACTGGCGGCTCCTTCTGCTACAAACTGCAGCACCATTTCGACAAACTAAATCAAAATTGAGAAGAAAAAAGCTATGTCAGAAGAGACTACGTAGTGTGCATTGTTGGTTTTCATACGAAAGGAAGTCTTTATCTGAACTCGTCTCAGAGATCACTGGCCATAGCTGATCATTAACCAGCCCACTGACTGAAGTGACACAATGCACATGTGATTTAATTAAAGGAGGGTTTAGGGTTTAGTACAAATTCTGTAGATTTCAGAAAAAAAACTTAAACAAACTAAATTGTGTTTGCATTATAAAGCAAAGTGTATGTATATGTAGGTAAAACATTGCACCTTTTTTTTCACCTAGAACAGTAATATGAGATATTTGGTAAGCAGATCTCAGACAGCTAGCAAACAACATTTATGTGCTTCATAAGAATCAAAACAATAATGTAAAATGCTATAGACCTTTTTCACACTATAAAACGTGTCCTGTTTAATTGAATATTTTCTGATAAATAAAATGACTATCAAATAATTTATGCTTGATTTAGAGAAGACGATTCCAGTCAATACAACTACAAAATAGTGCAGAAACACAACTAAACATTTTGTGTTTGAATCGTGTCAAAATCATATATTTAAAATAATATTCAGGCTCTGCCAAAATCTGTTTGCCATTCACAACTCAACAATTCTACAAAACGTCAGCTATAATGTCAAATTAAAGAAAAACAAGTCAAACAGATAAAAACATAAGCTGCTTTTCAACTATTGGGCCACACTATTCTCTTTTCTTTGCCAGCTATGAAGAAACTTGTAGCCTGTAGATCAGTATGGGCTCAGACTGCTTAGTAATCATGCCACGCCATACCATGCTCACATGGGAATACAGCTGGAACCCTACCTGACAGCTGAAAGTTTTTAGACCTAATGGTGTGCAATGTTTGGTACAAAGCTTTCAGTTCAGCACGCATTCCAAGCCAAACAATTCACTGTGGTTATTTGTAAAATAGATATTTGTCAAATAAAGAGCGTAAAGTGTGTAAATATGTGAATATAGAAATGATGTACTGTAACACAGAATGTGCAGTTTTCCCCTCCTACACTTAAAGAAAATTAATTTCAGTCAGGTATATGCTGAACAAGCTTATTGCAATATGGCTAATGGGTTAGGGCATGTGTCGACCGACGTGTATTTGCACAGTTACACAATTTGTCTTTCAAAAACGCTCTGCTTTGAGTGCTGAGAGCTTCTTTAACATTAAGACTCGACTTATTCTTTCACTTTTGGCACATTTTAAAAACCATAGTGTTCTGCAAGAGAATGCGGCTCTCATTAAAAACAACTGAAAAATACGCCTGCAAAGTATGTAATGGAGAAAAACAGAAGTTACTGTCACATGCAGGAATTATTCACTGTTTAAATTATTAGAGCACCGTTACACTATTCATTCCTGGCTGTGCCTGCAACCTCTGTCCTGATAGCCAGTGGGCGTTTTCCACTTTAAATGAGACTAGTTAGTCACTAATTAGTTACTACCTAATTAAATAGTATTGTTGAATCCAGCAGATCTGTTCTTTTCACAGAAAATATGAACAAAAAGTAAAAAAACCTGGTTCCACATATCAGGGTTTCTGCAGGTTTCACCATGTCAAATTAAAAACTTTTTAAGACCACGAGGAATACAATTTCAGACCTATAGGGCTAAACACTGAGGATTTTTTTAATGGCCAAGCAGAAAAAAAATACTTGCCCCATTAAAAAAAAACTAATTGTAAATAGTTATTTCTTAGCCACATATTTAAATAATGTGTCAAATCAAGGTGACCATACTGTAGTTGTAAATACATTTTTAACATAACTTTAAAAAATAAATGGATGCGCAGCAGACTGTAGAGTATTAGATATAAATAAAGTTTTGCTAAAAGTTTTATTAAGATGAATTGTTGGTGATTTTTTTTGTTTGTTTTTATTTTATTTTAATTTTTTTTGTGTGTGTTACTGGAGATTTTTATAGACTTTCGTATGCCCATACTGTACCATTCCTACTCTCTCAGCGAGCTGCGGGTGATGCCGTCAGCCCCTTCTCCGCCTCTGAGTGCTCTCAGCATAGTCCTCGTATGTGCATACATAAAGCGTATATAAATACCCATTTATTAACCATAGTCTATTATACAAACAGAAACAGTTGGACGTGATGACGTCACTAATATGCAAATGCGACTTTTCCGTGCAGAGCTTAGCGCCATTTCATTAAAAATAGTCGGCAACATTGTTGGTGATTTGATCGACTAGGGAGCTTTGGATAAATAAAGAAAAATTAAGGCCCATTTAAAATGATTTACGACTTAAAAGACAATATTTGTGTGAATTTAATACTTTTTAAGGGCTAAAATTTAGTTTTTAAATTTGAAATTTAAGACTTTTTAAAACCCTGCGGATACCTATATATTTTTTTCCTTTGCATTTGTTTAGAACTATTACAATATTACATTTCTTTTTTTTATAAAGTACTGATTTTGTTTTATATCCTGACAAGAAGACACCCCAGAAGATGGCTCAAGTAGCTCCATAAAAGTTCAAAGTAAAGCAACCATCGTAGATTATGATTTTAGTTTGAATACGTTAAATCAATTAATAAGTTTCATTCTTTTTTGGTGTATTGAAATATACCAAATCATGACACCAATGTGTCATGTTGTGTCACCAAACCATTAGAACCATTTGGCCCAATAGACAAAAAAGCAGCTGTAGTCGTTCATACATATAGAAACAAGTGATATATTTATTGCAAATCACACTTTCATACAACTTGTGCAGGACGATAAAGATTTCACAGTTTCATGCCATGCTCATTCAGTCGTCTGCAATCTTGAAAATATGTGAGGAAAAATCTGAGTTGTCTGGAATGCAGCATTAATCCTAATCTGAAGTAGGAGCTAATTTAGTCACCCAAAATATGTTCCCAAAACTAAAACCATTCCCAGTTAATTTCATTGCCAAATGACAGAAACTTCCTCCTATTGTATATGTGTTAAAGATTACTACAGTAAAATGGTGTTTTGCTTCCTAAAATAACGTTAATAAGAAACCTTTTTACTTTAAGGAATCTTGCTGAATAAAAGGTTCTCTACACTGTAAAGAATTATGAGCAATACTATGCAAATGTCAACCTTGCCATGAAAAAAAGTTTTCACCAAAATATGGAAATCGTTTCACAAAGTTTTTATTGTGTAAGCAAGTATTTTACAGTACTTTAGAAATGCTCGGAAATGTCTGTGTCAATTTTTTCAAGCTATTATATTTGATTTAGTAAAATCACACAAGTGGCAATTTCACATTGGTCGCTTTTTCCTCATAAATGCTAAAATATTAAATAAAATAAATTCAAACCTGTTTGTTCTATAGTGTGCCAACTTTTATCCTTTTGATTAGAATTCACAGAATTTCTGCAAGTATGTTGTATATACTGCGAACTCAATAACTTTTTTGGTCACACCCATAACACATGTTTATTTTGCACGTTTAAAGTACAAAACATGTTTACAGATTGATATTTTTCTGCTCCTTTAACTCAGTTCTTCTGTAAAATAGATGTTTCAATATAATGTTAACATATACTTTTTATGCAAGTTTATGTTTTGGTTTTTACTGCTAATGTCACATTCATTACGCTGGAATTGCTCTTATATGAACAATTAGACAGCTTATGTTTTAACTGAAGTTTGTCCTGCGCGCTTGCGGTTTTTTTAGTGACTTGTTTAGTTTGGTGCTTTAACCTTATCGTTACTATTATTCAAAAGAAGGTAGTGATTCGCACTCAATTGCTTCGTACTGTTTTTATTTTTACTTTTTCTTACATTTTACGGGTGATAACAGACAAACAGACGTTTTGGCACAAAGCCTTCCTCAGTGTGGCTTTGTGCCGAAACGTCTGTTTAGTTCATTGTAACTCATTAAACTTGGTTAATCATATTCTAACTTAATTTTATAAGTTATGTAAGCAGTTTTAAGTCAGTTTAACATAATATAAGTTCAATTGACTAAGATTAGTTTGATTCATCTTAAAAATTTAGGGCAACCAGGATTTTTTTTATAGTGTACAGGTTGAAGCAAGGTCATTCAAGGAAACCAACAAATGTCATTACAGAACATTTCTATTAGTGTTTGAAAGGCTAATTATGTTAGTCGTAATCTTTAATGATATTTGTGTGGCAGGACACCACAACACAAATAGAGCTACTTGTCAAAGTTAGCATGCAGGCAAAGCTGTCAGAGTGACAGCTGAACACCCCTCTTAACATTATCAAACACATGCACCCTCTACCAAAACCACACATACATTACTGCTGATCAAATATACACACTCTTGAATGAAAAGGTCATCTTATTTGGTGAAGGACAAACGTAAACAAACAGAAAGAGTGTGCATGAATTCATGAAGGGAGTTAATAGCCGGATAATCTATACAAAGCAGCATTGTTTGCCATTCTGGGCGTAAGCCACCATCACTTACACACCTGTTCTGGCATTTGTTTCTTCTTGGTAGCAGTTGTCAATTTCACAGACAAAGATGGGCAGTGTGCTTGTCAAAACACGTGTACAGATCAGTTAATGCAGCCGGTTTGACATGAGCTCAGACACTTATACTTGTTCTTACCATAGCAAAGGAATAGATGTTCTCTGGGCCAAACACTGAGTCAAGGTACAAGACCGCATTCTGAGTCAAAGAGAGGTGGGTGAGGGGGACATAAGCAGAGTAAATTAGGACAAAGGATGAGTGAAGGAGATGAGGGGGTTAAAAGGGATTAAAGCAACATGACAGAGGGACAAAAGTGGGGTGAGAGCCATGAATACCACATACCAAAGGTTTTAGCATTTGTTAGGGAATTAAATGAAGGTCCTGTTAGAAGGTGATCTGAATTAAAATGTTTAATAACTATTCACTTCACCATCACAGAGGAAGTTTCTCCTATATATGTCTTTGGTTTGAATTGTGTCTCAGGTTTCTCAGATTTTCTTCTGAGGCAAAAGCCTTATGTAAAAAGTGTTTCTGGTTTCAAAGTGTGCTCATTCTTTTTTATAAATTCACACATTGCATTGTGACAGGCTAAATTCAATATGAAATCACAATGTTTTCTATATTTAGCAAATGAAACAAAGTAACTTAAATAAGCCAATCACTATGCAGTCTGTAGGACCATAAAATATCAACAATATTTTCCTGTAAAGGAATGTCATAAGCATATTTCAGAAATACTCTAATAATAATAATAATAATAATAACAAAACAGTTTTACCTCAACACAAATCTGAATTGCATGTGTGCCAACAATGGACTCCACGTATCTTCTCAATGCGTCCAGAGGCTCCAGAATAAGAGATCCTGAGGTAAACTCTTCAGTCAAGCCATGGCACAAAACTGAACGAACCAGAACCAAAAACATAAAGAACAGCAGCTTTTCTGAAAGTCTCGAGACGACGTTGTGAACAGCCATCCTTAAAACCCGGATTAACACACGACTCTCAAATACAAAACAATCAAAGTGCAGCAATAATAGCTTGTCAGCTCTGTCCAGCTATAGTCGCCCTTGTTTTATTTTATTTACCTTGAAAAGATGTACGAATAAAAACCTGCAGGTTTAAATACAGTCCTTTTTATACCTAGTTCATGGCTATGTTAAGACTTGCTTTAAAAAACAATTGGCAAACACGGAACACTATTAGTTGGCACAGGCTGCGCTTGTAACTAAAAAGTTCTGAGGGAGTCGCTAAAGTAGCCGGGCACGCGCTTGCCAAGGGCACTTAAAAATAGCGCCTGGATGACTGTATATGGTAGGCAGGCTATCTATCGTACAACAAAGTGTTAAGACGAGAAATGGAAAATAAGCTCTCAAATGTGCGCCTCTCTACATAAAAAATATTGGTGTTTATTCTGACAAAGCGATGCGTTTCGAATCCGAGATAAATCCTGTGTAAGGATTAAGGAAAAGGTGTCCGATGTGCTCAGTCGTGCACCGCGGACAGAAGTTTGAATACTTTTGTGTTGTGTGACTGCAGATATAATACTGTTATGCCTCCGCCTCCTGCATTCCTGTGCCATCAAGAATCCCGTTCACACAGTTGTTCAGCGACAGCACCGCTCGCTCCAGGACACGAGGCGTTGCAAGATCAATTTGGCCGGAGGTGCGGTGCGAGCAGATCTGCAGGCTGGGACGTGCGTTTCGTTCTGTTTACATGGGGTTATTGAGGAGTGAATATGAAAACAAAAAAGGCAGAATATGTATGATTAAAAACAGAGTTTCTTGTATTTAAAAAAATATAATTATAATTTTGAATGGTTCACGAAGAAGGTTATTAGGTTCATTCCGCTGTGGCATTCCCTGATAAACCAGGGACTAAGCCAAAGGGAAGCGAGGGAGTGTTCCCCCTTAAATCACAATTTTGCATTTTTCACTGTAATGATGTATCTTGCAACTTTTACAGTACAGTGAGTATGGAAAATATTCAGACTCCCTTAAAATTTTCACTCTTTGTTATATTGCAGCCATTTGCTAAAATGACTTAAGTAAATTTTTCCTCATTAATGTACACACAGCACCCCATATCGACAGAAAAACACAGAATTGTTGACATTTTGCAGATTTATTAAAAAAAAAAGACAAACTGAAATATCACATGGTCCTAAGTAATCAGATTCTTTGCTGTGACACTTGTGTATTTAACTCTGCTGTACATTTCTTCTGATCATCGCTACACCTTCATTTGAGTCAAGCTGTGTTTGATTATACTGATTGGACTCGATTTGGAAAGTCACACACCTGGCTAAAAGACCTTACAGCCAGAGGCGGACTTAACAAATAAGCGAGGTAAGCAGCCGCTTAGGGCCCCAAGAAATAAGGGGGCCCAAACCAATGCCAAGAAGCCTATATTAATCAAATAGCTCTTTTATAAATTTTCTATCATATGTTGGAAAATCTGTCTCTAATCGTTAAAAATTTAATGGTATTACTTTTTTCAAAACCGGGGACCCCCATGAAAATCCTTCAATGCTGCACTTGCACAAGGTATGAGTGGTTCAAAGACGCTGAGATAATGTTGAACATATTGCCAGTCTATCAGCATTCAGAGTAGAGCTGAGGTAGAGGCCGGCACAGTGTGCAAGAGGAAGAATTTTGAAATAAGAAAAAAAGATTAACGCATCTACCTCTGTGTTCTTGCTTTCTGGCCAAAACACCTGTCAAATGCTGAGCGCAATTACAGAGAGAAAAAAAAATCAATAAATCTATAGAGAATGTTTTGAGTTTTAATGCTATGAAAACCAAACGAGCTTACAGCTCACAGTGCATGTCAGAGCAATTGAGAATCATAGTCAAAGGAACTGCAAGACAGAAATGTGGAAAGGCACAGGTGTGGCCAAGATTACAAAAAATTCTGCTGCACTTAAGGTTTTTAAGAGCACAGTGGCCTCCATAATCCTTTAATGGAAGACATTTGGGAGGACCAGAACCCATCCTAGAGCTGGCCATCTGGCCAAACTGAGCTATCGGGGAAAAAGAGCCTTGGTGAGAGAGGTAAAGAAGAATCCAAAGATCACTGTGGCTGAGCTCCAGATATTGAGTCGAGAGATGGGAGAAAGCTGTAGAAAGTCAACCATCACTGCAGCCCTCCACCAGTCGGGGCAGTTTGCTAAAAACATAAGAAGAACTCTAAGATGGTGAGAAATGAGAACTTTTTTATTCTAAGTGGTGTGTGTGGAGAAAACCAGACACTGCTAAACGACTGTCCAATACAGTCCCTGCAATGAAGCACGGTGGTGGCAGCATCATGCTGTGTTTTTCAGCTGCAGGGACAAAACGACTGGTTGCAATCAAGGGAAATATGAATGCGGCCAAGTACATGGGGTATCCTGTGGTAACCTCCTCCAGAGTGCTCATGACCTCAGACTGGGCTGAAGGTTTACCTCCAACCAGACAGTAACTCTTTACACAGCTAAAAATAACAAAGGAGACGCTTCTCAACAACTCTGCGACTGTTCTTGAATGACCCAGCCAGAGCCCTGACTTATAACCAATTGAGCATCTCTGTAGAGAGCTAAAAATGGCTGTCCTGTCCACCCCATGGTTACCATCCAACCTGACAACTGAAGAGGATCCTCAAATTTAGGTGTGAAAAACATGTTGCAACTTTCTCGAAAAGACTCATGGCTTTATTAGATCAAAAGGGTGCTTCTACCAAATACTGAGCAAAGGGTATGAGTTCTTAGGACCATGTGATAATAGTTTTTCTTTTCTAATAAATCTGCAAAAATGTCAACGATTCTGTGTTTTTCTGTCAATATGGGGTGCTGTGAGTACATTATTAAGAAAAAAATGAACAAATGATTTTAGCAAATGGCTGCAATATCACAAAAAATGAAAAATGTAAAGGGGGTCTGAATACCTTCCGTACCCACTGTGTAAACGTGTATATAGCCTATATGTATGTGCTTGCGTGCGGTTAAAAAAATAATGGGATTATAAGAAAATCTATAAATTTGCAATTAAATTCAAAGGTTTTCACACTTTTGATTTGTAATCCTGAGTTTCAATACTCATTCTATAAAAAATTCAGGTTATCTCAGATTTTTTTTTACACATCAAAACTGAGAGATTTAAACTCAAACTAAAATATCTCAAGGGCAAGATCAAACTGCAACTACCCCTTTAAGCTTTTACAACTTGATGCACTCTTTAAGGAGCAAAAAAACAGTTCACACCCAAAAACTATTCTTTCCTCATTTACTCTCTTCACTTGTTCCAAACCTGTTTACCCTTCTTCCTTATGTTGACCACAAAAGAATGCATTTCGAAGAAAGCTGAAAACTTTCTTTAACATTGGAAGGTTAAAGAAACCACAGTATTTGTTTTTTCCTACTATGTGTCAACTTTTACAGGTTTTAAGCTTTCAAAATATTTTCTTTACTGTTAAACAGAAGACAACAACACTCAGTCACTCACCAATACAATTCTGAAAAGAGAGATTGAAATAAAAAGAAATTGCTAAGCATCAAATCTTTCTTTAAAGCTAAATGCTAATTCATTTCATTTTCACAAATTAAAAATATAGAGACTTTGTAGTAGGTTCAAAGCCACAGCACCACAGTACAAAGACTTTATTATAACATTATTCCAAAGCAGAGGCATTGATTCTTGAAAGGGGACAACAGTTCAACAGGCCATAAAATCTACTTTTTCAATCACATATAAACATACTACAAATGAATATCTGTGAAAATTTTAATAAGGAGTCATAATGAATTTACATACATAGATTTTTAATGTATTTCAATGAAGCATTTGCACATCCATCACTACAGGCAGTCAAAAAAAGTAGACAATACAAAAATTACAATACAAGCTTTTCAGCAAATGAACCACTGCCCAGTTGACTAGACAGCTTGTTTTCAAAGACAGGTCTGTAGGCTCACTCGTGTTCATGGGTTCACATTGGTTCTGGGTAGTTAAGTTAATGTTAAGCTGGAATGGGAGATCTGGTCGAGGCAGTTTTAACTCAAAGAAAGTCAACAAACCTTGAGGACAGTCCTTGAGGCAAGCAGCAGCTTTTGTGAGAAACGTTGGCTAAGACAGACCTGTGGAATGTGACCGGGTTAGTTCTGCTAAACCGATGCTGGGACGTCTAATCAACATGTCGGTTGTTTTCTGAAGAGCGAATCAAATGGAATGTAAAACACTTGATGCTCGGCCAATACAGGACATGCTCCAACTGCAGAACAATGCTGAGGAACTGGACCAAACAGATGCAGATGCTGTGATTCACAAGCCTCATCCGATGTAAATGCGGTGGAAGTCGTTGGCACCAAATGCGGCATTGCACTTTGGGCACTTTCTCTGACGGGTGTCGTAACGTGTCTTCACGCACTCGAAACAGAAGACGTGGAAGCACTTTGTCAGAACTGCATCTTTTACACGTGAATTGCAGCATGGACAAGTCAATCGGGCCTAAAGTACAGAAAACAAAAAAGATTATTTAAAGCCGTGGACACAAAACTATTTGTGATCCTTCATAAAAATAAACATAAATGACCTTGTATTCGTTTATTTCTTCATTCAGGATCTCATCTCCATTTCGAATGTTCTCTGCCGGTTTCTTGGCCTTCTCTATCTTCCTGCGGAGTTTGGATATGTCCTCCTAAAAAAGACAAATTAATAATGGCATCATGTTAAAATAAATTCACAAAATAGTCCATATGTCTCTTTCAGAAATTTTCCACAATTGTGTTATTGATATTGAAGTTTGGTGAATTCTGACCAACAAAATCACATAGAAAGAAGATGCCTAAATTATAGTTAATAGTATACAGCTAACTATAGTATAGCTTGTTTTCTCCATAAAAAAACACAGTTTTAAACTAATTCGATATCACAATCGATATTTTAGAACTCTTTGCAGTCTTTAACTGTTTGTCTTAAGGATATTAAATGTAGCAGGGCAAAAAAAACTTCAACTTAATAACGAAAAAACTGAGGTTATTTTCTTTGGCCCCTCAAAAACAAGAATGTTTTATATTGGGGGCTTAGAAAGTGTCCATATGATTAATCTCAAGTGAAAAATCTAGGAGTTATCTTTGATTCTGAGCTTTGACTAGAAAAACAAACGAGCTCAGTGGTTAAGAATAGTTATTATCAGCTGAAGATCATCTCAAATCCATTCTTTCCTTTCAAGATCTGGAAAAAGTCATACATGCTTATATCACATCTCTCCTAGACTATTGTAATTCCTTATATATTGGTCTCCCTCAATCTTCATCGGCACGCTTGCTGTTGGATCAAAATGGGGCAGCTAGACTTTTAACAGGCACCAAAAAATCATGCTAGTTTTGGCATGCCTTCATTGGCTTCCTGTTAATTTTAGAATTCAGTTCAAGATTTTACTTATTGTTTTAAAAGCACTGAATGGGCAAGCACCTTCTTATATAACTTATTAATCTACAGTCAACTCCTCGGCCCCTTAGATCGTCAAATAAAAATTTTACTGCAAATTCCTCTGTAACGACTTAAACTGAAAGAAGATAGAGCCTTTGCAGTCGCTGCGCCACATTTGTTTGATATTACGAGAGCTTCTTCTATCTCAATTTTTAAGTCCAGACTTAAGACACTTTTTTATTCTATTGCCTTCTCAGGCTTTAAATCTTAATTTTGCATTGTTGCTGTCACACTATTATTC